GCACAGGGCTTCCTCAACACAATTGGGCCTTTTGTTGCACAAGATGTGCTCACTGATTCGTAAAAGCCGCCTTATGAACCAGAAAATCTACCTCTCGATAAAGCAAATAATCTTCCGAACCTCATTTAGCACTCATCTGACTCAGCTGGAGGAGTCTCCTTGGTCTGCGTTTTGGTATTCTACGCGAGCTATTAAGCCTTTATGTTGGGCCAAATGGGCCCGTCAAAATTTTGAAGCGGCAAACGCATGCTCTTGCCGACAGGAGGCCACTGTTCTCTCTGCGCCCCCCCCCCCCCCCTCCCTGCTGTTCTTGGTCAGTCCACTGCTGTTCATGTTCACAAATGCTTTGTGTGGCGCCAAATTAGACTAATTTGCTAATTTTCTGGTAGGGTGACGTCACCCGCAGGTGTGTAAGACCATATTTGCTAATCTCGTCCGGCCGGTGCTCGTTGATTACATCGGAAGGAAGGTGTCTATAAATCCAGAAATCGAAACCAACTGAACTATCCCTGTCTTCTACTCACCCAATTATGTCTCGTTTTTCGTAATGCTCCACCATGAATTGCGCTGCATTGCAGTTATCGCCAACTAAACATGGTCAAGTGTAGTCAGCTTATGTCGTCTCATAAATGAGACTGATGTGAGTGCTACTAAAACACTATGTGGACAAATGGGACATGATTAAATGAGATAACATCCAACTCCCGTGCATTTGCCTGTGCTACCCCACATGTTATCCAAGAGAGATTTATATCCTCTGAGTGATGCGATAAATTTTGATGCTGTGATGTTGCTTGTAAGCTGCAGCTGTAATCTTCCAAAAATCGCAAAGTTGGCACTTTTTCTTCAGCTCTGATGCTGACATTCATTAGACTTTATTCTTTTCTTCCGCCTTCCAGAATATCATGATTAGAACTCGCACGTTTCCTAACCACATCCACGTTGAACGCTTATTGTCTGAATGAGTGAACCAGTCACTACTTCTTGTCCACTTTGAGCGCAATTACTCTTTTGCGTATTTTGTAGCTGTTGCACGCTGTTTACGCTTGCCGCTTCAGAAGTTGATCTTTCAGTAATTCACAATTCTGAGGTTAGTACCGCAATCTACGACACAAATGTCTGCGTTGATCTAATTGACAATTACACTTCGGTTTTATCAAAAATGTGCTCTGTCGTGTTTTGGTATTTGGTTTGAGAAACTCACACATTTGTTTTTTTGCTGCAGATTGTGCAGTTATAGCGTCTTCAACATGGCCATTTCAGCTCAAAACCCCATATAAATACTCTCTTTAAGAGCTAAGTCGCAGACTTTTACTTAAAAACAGTCTGATTCTATTCATGACGCTCATATATGGGCCGCTATTTATGGAATTTCTCGCCCTTCGGTTTATTCTCACCCGCGTCGTAGGCGACGAAAGTGGCTGGTTGTTTGGATAGGCGGGGGGGGGGGGGGGGGGGATGGCTGATTGTTATGGGGCGGGGAATGACTGGCTGAGCACTGTGGCCGCTTGCGAACTAAAACAAAAGAAAAACGGTGTATAACTAAGCGTAAAGTGAGAGCCGAACTACAGAAACCAACAAATCGAGAGCGAACGTCCTTCAGGTTATAACAAACAGCATTAATATTAAAACCTGTTGTTTCTTACTCGATGTATGTGCCCAGCGTTAATTAAATACCAAGGGACAGACAACCCATTTTGAACCACTCCAACAACTTCAATGACGTATTGAAAATCCAGCCTCTAGTACCGTACCACAGTGGGAAGGACAAACGTTAAGGTCCGGGTGGAATTCGCAAAAAAAGCAACCTACGAGCGATTAGGGGAGGGGGGGGGAGGGGCAGACACAAGTTTGAAAAAGCTGTGCTATCTGGACGGGCCTATCCTCGGTATATTTTTTTATAACCGGCCCTAGCATGTCGTGTGCGTATGACCGAACGACGGAATGCAAAACAAGGAATGTGATATACGGTATGCGTTCCAACGCGTGTGAATACGCATGCTACGTGGGGAACAAACTGAAAACTTGATATGCCCCGTTGCAAAAAAAGATTGAACATCCGAGCAGAAATGTATCGGTGGGTTTATCCGCATCCATCAACTTCAGCTCACTGGGCTCATTGGGTTCCAAGTTGAAAACTTCGGCTTCGCTAAGGACATCCCTGTTCATGGCCTTTGCATAGTCTGTAGCCAGCCACAGTGGTCCGGTGGCCACCGCAGCAAGAACCAGGTCGGCATATATATATATATATATATGCCGCTGGGCGTTTCTGTGTCAATTGTATCGACAAGTGGGAGTTTTCAGAAACGCCGGAATCCAGCGGGGTTATGTCCAGGTATGAATATGAGCGGCGAGAAGGCATTGTCAGCAGATGACGTTGCGGGAAACATGTGATGAGCACAGATAATTGCACCCGGGAGCATGTCCGCATCTTACCCGCTGAAGATTGCAGAGCGATGACAACTATCACGCTAGCTGAATGCTTTCTAAGAAGTATTTATATATATATATAATCTATATATATATATAATATATATATATATATGTCCGGCAGTTTAACTATCTACATCGGTATCTACACATTCGCACGTCCCAAGCTCGCACTGAAGGAACAGCTACATCTGTATCTACACATTCGCACGCCCAAACTCTCACTGAAGGAAAAGACAAGCAGAAGCTATTGACGATGAAAAAGGAGAAGCAGAAGAATCAAGAGAGAGAGAGAGAGAGAGAGAGAGAGAGAAGAGAGAGGAAGAGAGAAGGAGAGAGAGAGAGAGAGAGAGAGAGAGAGAGAGAGAGAGAGAGAGAGAGAGAGGAGGAGAGAGAGAGAGATAGAAGAGAGAGAGAGAGGAGAGAGAGAGAGAGAGAGAGCAGATAGATAGAGAGAGAGAGATAGAGAGAGAGAAGGAGAGGAGAGAGGAGAGAGAGAGAGGAAGAGAGAGAGAGGAGAGAGAGAGAGAGAGAGAAGAGAGAGAGAGAGAGGAGAGAGAGAGGAGAGATAGAGAGAGAGAGGAGAGAGAGAGAGAGAGAGGAGAAGAGGAGAGAGATGAGAGGACGAGAGAGAGAGAGAGAGAGAAGAGAAGAGAGATAGAGAGGAGAGAGAGAGAGGAGAGAGAGAGAGACGAGAGAGGAGAGAGAGAGAAGAGGAGAGAGAGAGAGAGAGAGAAGAGAGATAGGAGAGAGAGAGAGAAGAAAGAGAGAGAGAGAGAGAGAGAGAGAGAGAGAGAAGAGAGAGAGAGAGCGGAGCTGTGACACCCAAAAGACTCAGCAGGTTGAGATGAAGTGATGGCAAGTACGCTCAATGCGTTAAGGAAGTGTGCCACCTTTGATGAAAGGCTTGGTACTTTTGATCACTGCAAATGTCGCTCTAAAATGTAGCTGTGTGAACCAAATCATACAGTAAACAAATCGTGTTCGCTCAATTTGAGTCCGGTATGCCAGCCAAAGCTGTTAAAAGCTATCACCTCACTTCAGGCATGTAACCGCCATTAGCGCACTGGCCTGGCAGGCAGTCACAGAACAGGCGTTGAAGAGCCCCTAACCAATTCGCCGCAGTACGTTGCCGTTGGGCTTTGTCATTGTGGAAGAGGTGGACAGTATATGGGCTGGAGAGGGCAGCTCAAGGCGGCTGGATGCGCAGCCCAGCGTCACACCCTGACTTTAAAGGTGGCACTCTTCCCTTAGAAGAAACAAGCGAATAACGCTTACCGTTCTCGTTTGCTGCAGGCTTCGGCGGCGGCGGCGGAGCATCTAGAAGCAAGACAAACGCCGCTGATTGCATGCAACAGGTGAAAACGCCTGGCCGGCCGGGAAACGAGATGATTTATCATTATATCAGCTATTGTTAAAATGTTAGAATGCAATGCCTTTCAATTATTGCATCATTTTGAGCACAGCAACGGCTCTAGAGAAAATATCAGCAAAGCTGAGAAGAAGTCAGCACCATTGAGGCTCGAGAGAAAAATGTATAGAAAGACCAGCAACACCACAGTCCTGCGCAGAAGTTAGCTCACCAAACCCACACCAGAGGCGTGGCACACGCTATACGCCGGCGGAGCCCTAGCTCCGTGTGCGAGCCATGCCAGTCAGCTGAGTGAGGGTGCTGCGCGCTGGTGGCCGCTCCGACAGGCGCCATCGGCCCGTCTGGGGCATCCGTGACGTCACGAGGCCACCGGCGCCGACACCGAGCCGTCGTTAGCCGAGCTGCCGCCGGGCGGCGCTGTCGTCGCGACGGCCGGTCACTTACAGGAGCCCAGTCCGAGGGCCATGCTCGTGCCGATGCTGCTCTCCCAGGCGTGCTGTCGCCGCGCGAATGAGCTGCGCGCGCTGGACGCCGGCGGCGGCGGAGGTGGCCCTCGTCCCAGCCGCAGGTCACCGACCGTGTGCGACTTGGCGAGCGCGTGCGGCGGCTGCCGGCCGCCGGCCGACTCACCGGCCGCCGGCGCCATCAGCTCCTCCTCGTCCAGGCCGTCCAACAGGTCGTCGAACGAGCGAGCCAGCCGCTCGTCCTCGCGCTCGCGGAAGAATGTCTCCAGGCGCTGCTTCTTCTGCTCGGCACTGGCCGCATCCAGGCGCGCCTCGAACGGCTTGGTGGTGACACCGAAGCGCAACATGTCGGAGCTGCTGCTGCGCTGTAGGCCAGCGCGGCGCCCGGCCGGCTCGGCTGCCCCCGGCCGCGCCGGCACTACCGGGCGCGGGTACAGCGGCGGCAGCCGCGCCGGAACCGGAGCCGGAGCCGGAGCCGCAGCAGGAGCTTGAGCCGGAACCGGAGCTGGAGCCGGAGCCTGCTGCCGCGCCAGCGGAGCGGTTCGCAGATCCACCTGGCCGCCCGCCAGCCGCCGGCCAGGCGTCACACACGGCGGCGCTGGCCGGGCTGGCCGCGACTGACCGCCCAGCTCGGCACCGGCCAGCGAGGCGGCCCGCTGCTGCACCCGCCCGGGGCCGTGCGCGCCCGCTTGCGCCCACGGCAGGCGCGCCGCCCCGGCCGGACCGGCGCCGTCGGCGGCCGTGACCGGCAGGAAGACGCGGCCGGCCGGCCCCGGCCCGCTCTCCGACCGCGGCCGAGCCGGGCCGCCGGCGCTCGCTCGCCCCTGCGCCGGAGGACCCGTCAACTGACCCGACAGTGGATCCGATGGAGGACCCGAATAGAGGACCCGGCAGAGGACGAGCCTAGTGGCTCTGGCCGCTGACTCCGGGCTGAGGACGACTGCGCAGGCTGCTGAGGCGTGCCGTAAATGGCGTTTGGGTGGTCAAGGACCTCTTGGTGCGGACTGGTGGGATGATGATGGAACTCCTGGTGCGGGTTTGAGGACACACGCCGTAGATCTTGCGAACAAGACGATACCATTGGCTGGGGATATGGCTGATATTACTGATAACATCCGGCTGGTGCGTATTGACCATGTGCTCCTGTGGATGGTTGTGATAGTGCGCGGATGCTGGCTGCTGACGCACAGACGACTTGAACATCGTGAACAGATGGCTGGCCATAGTGCCGCTGGTGGCTGTGCATGGTGGCGGCTTGCTGATGCAGATGCTTCCCCTGCTGATGGTGCGGCTTGTCCGACACATGCGTTTGCTGTCGCATGCCATGCAACATATGGAACGGCTCCTGCTTCAAAATACGACCATGTGGCCTGCCTCCACAGATCTGCTCCTCGCTTCTGGAGCGCGCCAGTGCCCTGGTGGCGCCTGCGGGCCCGTGCGGAAGCGACATCTTCCTCTGCTGCGATGGCGCCGGCGCCGGGCCTCGCTCCGCGGCCGCCGGCTCGCCTGACGCCGCGTACAGACTGCGTGCCTTCTCCAGCCTCGCCTGGCGAGCCCAGTTGGGCGGCGGCGGCGGCTCCTCGGCGCTGAACGCGCTGGCCAGCCGCGACACGCTGGATGCCCGGCCCGGGCAGCGGCCCGGCCGTGCCCACGGCAGCTGGCTGCCGGCCGCCGCCGGCACCGCCTCCTCCAGCGACTGCGGTCTAGCGGAGCGGCCCGTGCGTGCCAGCGTCGGTCGTACGGCGCGCTCCTCCGGCGACGACGACCTGTCCGACCGGCCCCGGCGCGCCCAGGGCGGCCGCTGGCTGCCGCCGGAGGACGACGACGCGTCCTCCGGCGACGGTGGCGCCGCCACCCGGCCGTGGCGCGCCCACGGCGGCCGGCTGCCGTCGGACCAGACCGCCGTGTCCGGCCCCGGCAGATCCTGAGCCGCCACCGGCCGGCCCCCGTCGGACCCCGCCGCCAGTGGGCTGGCGCCGGGCGGCCCGGAGCCGGGCGGCAGCTCGGCCGTCTGCGTCTCCTGCGTCACGATGCTGCAGGTGTACTGAGTCGGGCCCGGGCCGCACGGTTCGTCGGCCGCCGGCTCTGAAACAGGAGCGGCTGTCTGAGCTGGCGGCCAGGCCTGGGCGCTGGGCGTGGCCGCCTCGCCCCGGGACGGCGGCCACTCGCGCGCGCCGCGCGGCTGCTCGCACCGCCGCCAGCCGGCTAGCCGACTACCGATCACTTGGTCTCTGGAAACATGGGCGGAGTCCTCGAGGTACTCCTTGGTCATCTGCTTTGTTAGCGCGGAAGCCAGCGAGAGTCTGTGGCCGTGCGGGCTGCCAGCGCTCTGCGCAAGCGGCGACTCGCGGCTCGGCAAAGCGGCAGGCTGTGCAGGAGCTTCGACGGGCGGCTGGGGGATGTCGCCGCGGTGGTGGACCGGCGAGGCGTCGGAGCGGCAGAACTGGCGGCGCGCCTCGTGGACGGTGGCGCGCTGCGGCACCAGCACGTCGTCGGAGCGGCGCTGGGGCGCCGGGCGCACGCTGTCTGTCTCCGGCCGGGGGACGGCCTGTGCGGGTCGGTCCGACACTCCCTCAGCGCTAGCCTGGCCGAGTGTCGTCTCCTGATCGGCACCGGCCGCCCGCGGGCTGATCTGGGAGTCGATGGCGGCGCGGATGGCGGCGAAGTCGTGCTCGGAGGAGCCGATGGTGTGAGGCCGGTCGCGGCGGCCGGCCGGGCGCGGCGGCCCGCTCGCTCGGGCGGCGGCCGGGCGCACAGTCGACCCGCAGCCGGGCCGGTGGGGTGGCGCCTGCTGGCGGCCCAAGAGCGGACTGCGGCCAGACGCCGGTGGTACGCGCCGGAGTCGCTGCGGCGCCGCCAGCCGCCGGCCCTGGTACTCCTGTGACAGCTGTCGGCAGAAGGGCCGCGCACTGCCGGCGTACAGGGAGCTGGCGGGAGCCGGCGCCGGCGCGGCAGCCGCCGCCTCCTGAGCCGCCGGCGCCGCCTGAGCCTCCGGCGCCGCCTGCCGACGGCTGACGGCAAGCCAGTGCCGGACCTCGGACAGCTCTTCCCGCGTGACGCCGACCGTGTGTGGCCGGCGCCGGCGCCGGTGCGCGGCACGCCGCGGTGGTGGCGGCGCCGGCGCCGCCTCACGGCCGCGACGCCGCCGTCTGCAGCGAGCTCTGCAGCCGTTCAATCAGCGCCAGCAGCTCGACCTGAGCTCCAGGCCCCGTCGGACGCCCCCGCCCCCGCGCCGAGCGACTCCCGCAGACGCGCCAACACCGCGTCCGCCTCGGCCAGCAGCTGGGGGCTGAGGCCGGGGGCAGCCGCCGCCGGCTGCTGGCCCTCCAATCGCCGCCACAGCCCGTCCAGCAGCGAGTCCAGCTGGCCGGCCGCCGCCTCGTCCCCGCTCTCGGTGCCCGAGTCGATGGCGCTCTCGCTGGAGCGGCGCAGCACACGCCGCTGCTGTAGCAGTGAGCGGCGCAGCTGGTCAAGCGCCAGCGGCGGCGGCCGGCCGCGGCCGCCGGCTGAAACACAAGGCCGGCGCGTCAGCGCGGCCTGCGTTAGAGCGCTGCTGAGAGCCGGGCACGGCGGCCAGGCCCGTGAGACGGCCGGTCACACGCCACACCGGGGTCCCGGTCAGATACCTGACCCAAGCCCAGGCCACGCGTCTGACCTGGGTCCAGGTCAGACGCCCGATTCAGGCTGGTCATGCGCTTGACCTCCGTCAGTGAGACGTTTGACTCAGGTCTAGGCTCTGACCGGGTCCAGGTCGCACGTGTGACCCGGGTCAAGGGCATGCGTCTGACTGTGGTCCGGGCTCCACGTCCGGCTCGGCCCAGGTCGTGTGATCCTGTTTCAGGTCACACGTGCGGCCCGGGTACTGGCTACGGGTCTGACGCGGGCCCGGGTCACACGTATTAGGAAGCGGAAGACCAGACCAGGGCACACGTCGACTTGCGGGCCCGAAAGTCAGCTCCACAAGGCCCTACCACAAAAGGTCACGTCAGCTGCGGCATGGACACACTAGACTGACACACCAGACTGGTATCTGCCGGTGTCGCGCATGCGATGTCCGAAGCCAAGCGTCTCTAAGACACAAAACACGGGATTGACGAAATGCGTCGACACGCTAACTCGATCGAAGGCATCTTCGGTAGTGGTGGTTATTTGTGGCGACTGGAAGCAAAATATGCATGCAAGCTGGTTTCGATACTGGTCCAGGTGACTGGCGGCTTACCTGGTCCTCCTGGCATGATGTCCATCAGACGCGCAAAAATTTTGTTTTTGTCATCGAAGTCCTCGCATTGCTGCAGCTGTAAGGGTGAACCGTTATGAGCGGACAACATCGTGCTAGATTGCATAGTGCATGTTCCAGATTCATCCTGCCAGATTGACTGTTCGTGACTGAGAAAGGGAGTACTGCACAGTACTATACCATTCACTCTCTCCTCCCAGCAGGAGACGGAGGAAAATAATTCCTTTCAACCAGGAAAAACCAACATTACTCCACTGATTACGTGGGCAAATAAGGTCTCCATGCTATTGCGCCATGCCTTTTTAAGAAGATTTTGAAGGTTCGGCGAGTCATGCCTAATAAAACATTCTGCATTAGTTGTGGACCATGCCTGAGCCATGACATATCGAGACACATCAGTGCTGACGGTTGAACAGACCCGAACGGACTGGTCACCCGACTGGGAACAGGTCTTCAGAACAGACGCCGGTGAGGAAACAGGTCTTCAGAACAGACACCTGTCCAAAGACATGTCTTCCAAACAGACGCTTGTCGGAGACGGGTCGGCCCGTTTATCTCTCCCGCACATGTAAGGTCTTGTACCCTTTCCGTAGTGCTTCTGCACTACTTGGTTAGAAAAGGTGCTTAAAGGCTGCAGTCACCATGGAATACGGACAACATCATGAAAAGGATGATGAAGAAAAGTGTCTGCAAGTGCGTCAAAAGTGCTACCATTTTTCGGCGTGAAGATTTACCACATAAAAACTGCGCCTTGTGAGCGGTGACGCTGATTGGAATGCTGACGCAGCCCAGTCCAATTCCGTCCAGTCCTGATTTAGACCGGACAAAGTGCTGATATGTATCGTGAGGTGACGTAAAAAGGGTAGGCAGAGGCACCTCTGTCTCCATCGCACTCCCCTCCCCCCGCCCCCCCCCCCCCCCTCAGCCAGCGATATGTCGGGGCGCCGCTCCGGGGCTACGACTGGCGCCAGGCACGGCTGACCTTGGCTGACCTCCAGCCCCGGCGCCCTGCTGGCCCGCAGGTCAGGGCGATTATTTGCCCTGGCTCCAGGATGGGATCAGGCGTTTACCGTGGGCGGCAAACACGTTCCACACCGGACCTGCGTAGCCGCCAGAGAAGCCTGAGGCCGACTGAGGTGGGACAGACGAGCAAACCTATAACGTGCCTCACACTCTAAACCAGCATCACCTGAGATGCTTCGTCAACAGCGACCATCTTCTGGGGGGGGGGGGGGGGGGGGGGGATAAAAAGACCCAGCGTCGTTTCAGGATCTAACCTGCGAATTGGTACAATACCAACCAATGTCGGCTGTCCCGGATAATATTGCCCGGGACTCATTAAGCTCACAATTGTCATCTGAATGATCAGTGGCAGGGCTTTATCGCTGGGAGCTATCAGTGAACACGCGAATATTGGCCCAGGATTTCGCCCAAAAGAGCGCCAAAATCGGGTCACAGAGAAGTGGACCCTTTTAGTCCAAGGGACCGTCATCGTTGTGATAGGGACCCTGCCGTGGGTTTAGAGGGGTGCTTGCGATCCTATTTTGGTGCCTCGGTGTCCACTTTTATGCTGTAAAAGCTCTGCGGGTGACCTAAACTTCAAAAATCACTACGGCGCCCCGCCATCTCCAGCAGTAAGGAGCATGGCCACAAAATGGCGTCCATGGCGTCGCCACTGTGAGTGATGACATTAAGGTCGCACAAAAACACCTGAAGGTGAACAGAAATATCGAACGACTTCCACATCATCCAGCAACCGCGAACATTGATGTATGTGGCTCAACGACCGGCAAGGACGAAAGACCCATTAGAATCCTGCTATGATGTTCAAAAGGGGTCATGTTAAGCTCATGTCAGGTACAATCAAGTAAAGACAAGCTCGTTCCACGACGAAATATTCGCTTTCCCGGCCCACATGGCCTAAGATACTCATTAAGTTGGAGATGTGCATTGGCGTATATACTTGCTTGCCTGTCACAAAACGGCACCACGAATAGGTGTTGTTCAACATTCGAAACGTGGTTGCATATTTCATCCGTTTCTGACCTGGTGTGACCTCGTACAGTCTAATGATCATGAATGGCACGCAGCCAAAACAGTCGAAGAGTTGCGCCAAAAGAATCTAAAGCAAGGAAGTGAAATACTGTCCATGGAGCCCAAAGCAGTTGCGCAAACCATGATCATATTCCCAACGCCAATTTTATGTCATGTCAATTTTATGGAATGTGTGTGTCAATCATGTCAAATGTCAATTTTATGGAAACGTGCCAAATATGCCGCCCGATGGGTACTGAAACCTTGGTGAGCATACCTGAAGCAGCTCGGGCGTTTAAGGCAACTTAGAGGGGGTTACTTGTTACACCCCCAGGTGGCCGCGAGGCGTTCCTTGCCGAGGAAACTATCTTTTTTCCACTCGGCCGCCAATAAGGAGGTGGGGCACGGCGACCAGGATGGAATCAGGAGACAAACTGACCTAAAAAGGGGATTTCGAGTGGGACAACGTGACAAAGTGCATTGTGTGGGCAAAATTAAAGAAGGCAGAATCCCATTCTGAGGAACAGTAGAACTTCTGGAGGGCATGTCCCACTTCCCACCCTCACTAGAAGCATATTGGCTATGCTCATATATTTCTGACAGACAGGAACAGACAGACAGCAGCGTCCGCAGACAGCAGCGTCCTCAGACAGCAGCGTCCACGCACGGCAGTGCCCACAGACAGCAACGTCCACAGACAGCAGCGTCCTAAGACAGCAGCGTCCACAGACAGCAACGTCCGTAGACAGGAACGTCCACAGACAGCAGCGTCCACAGATAGCAGCATCCGCAGACAGCAGCGTCCACAGACAGCAGCGTCCACAGGCAGCAGTGTCCACAGAGAGCAGTGTCCTCAGAAAACAGCATCCACGGACGGCAGTGCTCACAGACAGCAACGTCCAAATACAGCAGCGTCCACAGACGGCAGTGCCCACAGACAGCAACGTCCAAACACAGCAGCGTCCACAGACGGCAGTGCCCACAGACAGCAACGTCCAAACACGGCAGCGTCCACAGACGGCAGTGCCCACAGACAGCAACGTCCAAACACAGCAACGTCCACAGACGGCAGTGCCCACAGACAGCAACGTCCAAACACAGCAGCATCCACAAATGGCAGTGCCCACAGACAGCAACGTCAAACACAGCAGCTCATGTCAGTTATGTATCGAACGCGGAGACGGACCTGACGCAGACCAGCATACCTGACACACAGACTCGACGCCGACAAGCTTAGCTGAGAGAATATCTCACTCTGGCCACATGGACTGGGAGGCGGGCCTGACGTCGATCAGCACAGGTTAGAAACAGACCCAACGCCGCCGGCATGGATAAAAGGCAGACCTGTCACCGACCAGTACAGTTAAAGGGCTCAAAGACCTGAGTCCAGCCACCATAGAGGACACCCGTCCAACCGACGGCAGTCGTTACTGGGCACATCCAAGCGGACCAGCTGAGAGACAGGCCGTCAGAGTCGGACGCTGTCAGCTGACCTGCGACCCGGACGGCCGAGCTGGTGACCTCTGTGTGGTGCCGTAAACGCGGACTGACCTGGTGATCAGCTCGGCGCGGGCGCCGCCGAGCTGGTGCCCCTCGGCTCTGGGACCTACTGATGCGCCCGCCGTCAAGCCAGGCGCAAACAGGCCAGCCAGTAAAAATAGGCGGCCGGTCTGGGGTCAGCTGACGTCACCGTGTCGGCTGGCTGGGAGTGCCAGCAGCTGGGCTGGCTGCCGCGCTGGGGGCCGCTGCCGGCGCCTGGGGCCTCATGGAGCCGGCACCACGGCCGAGCGGAGGCCCCGCGACCAGGAGCGTCCAACGGAACGGCGCAGTCTGAGCCCGCTCACCTGACGCCGCTGCGTGTGCTGCCGACCCACACACCTGGCGCCCGGCTGTGCCGCGGCGATGGGAACAGAGGGCCCAACGGCGTGGCCCTCCCGCCATCAATGTTAAAACAGAGGACTCCGAGAGCGTTGGCTCCATATGAAAAAGGTGTGCGTATAGATGTAGGTCGAGACCAGGTGTGTCCGATTTCCACTGCAGTCAGGGCACTCACGACTCTGCTCAATGGCTTAGCGTTGCAATCTGAATGGTCATATTTGGAAATGTTTGCGTTTTATGTTGTATGAGGTAATTGTGGACACAGAATTCAAATATTCCCCTGAGAGCGGTTCTGATATCATCATAATGCATAATGAGGTCAGAACAGGTCACGCGAGAACACGCAAGGTCATGTGAGGACATCCAAGGTCGAGGATTTCCATTGCTAGTAGCGGAGAGTCTAGATACGAGTGCGACGCGTGTGTCCACCTCTATATCGTGTTTGCGAAGCTACTGACGTATACTTTCAAGCACAAACGCGCCTTTTTCAGGTTGTTACAACTACATTGCGAATTGCCGAAGGGACTCTGAATAATGTATTCAAGAGCTATACGATCTTCAGTGCCTGTAGTCTACAGGCATTATACAGGCGTTATACATCTACAGGCTGTAGATGTATAACACTATTTCTGATCGCAGAAAAGATTGTATTGGTCACTGAGACCCGGTTAGCAGCTCAAATTTGTATTTGGATGGTGCATGAATTTGACCTAAACTGATCTCAGCTGACCTCTAGGTCAGCCTTAAGTGATAATTTTCTGTCTGGGATACTTTTGTCTCACAGCTGCACCTAATGAAATCAACTAAGTCAGAAGAGCATCGTGAAAGAGAACAATTTTGTGCCATCCATATCCGTCTTGCGCGCTAGCTTTTGTTTTAACGCATCTATCGGAATGACCGCTTTCGACCGACCGTTTTGACCGCCGGTGACATCATATTTGACCTAAGGTCAAACATTTTGGGTGCATTTCTCATGATTTGACCAGACCTTCACAACTGTAGCTTTGCTTTTCTCGTAAGACGTCTGGAAGTTGAGGATCCCAGGGGGGGGGGGAGGTCGACTTGCCCCGGGCGGTCGCGGCTGTCTCAGACCCCGGCCGGGCGCAGATGAATGGCTTGAATAATAGTTTAACACAGTTGCGTCGAGAACCACTCTGGCGATATATGTTTCTGCGCACCTGAAGCTCTCCCAACTGAGCAGTTAAGCTTCTATTTTCGGTGAAGAAAAATGCATAACCTAAGTTATACCTGATGTTTTATTTCGTTTAGTTAATAGACTGGCGCTGACCAGCATACCTGACAGGCAGGAAAATGATGCAGTGGATGCAGGGAGGACATGGGGAGGAACACCAGTGATCCTCTGCGCTCCCGAAGCTGTCGCCCGGCTTTGCACCAGTATGAGTAGTAAGGTTTGTGAGGGGTCCAGCCATTTCTGCTATGACTTTTCACTGTCGTGCGTGACACCTAATAGTGTCTTGAGAGAAGGCTACACACTACAGGCGGGAACCCCAGCCATCGACAATGCTAATCAGCATGCATCTTGCCAAGGGTGTGGAAAGCTGTCCAGAATCGGTGATTCAGAGACAGTGTGATTTGTGCCTGCCCATGCGTGGTCATAGGCTTAATGTCAGATTTCCCAAACGTTAGGAGTCCCGAGCTCCTAAGGGACTTAAGGCTTGAGCCTCTAAAGCCCTCATCAGTAACCCCAAAGTCTCTGCTTTAATGCACCTCACGCCTGCAGACTCTGGCCGAGCCAAGACGCAAAGATGGATCAGAAGAGGATTGCAGGCGCATTCGTATTTTAGGTCAGCGCCTTCTATCACAGTGTCGTAGCCTGTGTGCCAAAGTCCGGGCACGGTGGACTGACCTGACCTCGCCATGACGGGCCGCTGCACTCACTGCCTGAGCCCTGGCTTATCCGTCCTCGGAGTCGAAAATAGTAGTGGGCTAATTTGGTACTACATCGTTTCCACCTAACTGGGTACCGGCAGCCGGAACTCTGGCAAGATCCGGCGGGGATGATATCACCACTTAATCAAGATCAGGCAAAACTAGGGTTTGTAGAAACCAGATGTTGAATCCAGGTAAGACCTGCGAGAGGATAGATCAATCGATGCCATTCATAACGAGTGAGCCTGCAGGCTGAGTTGGTCTTGCCTTTGACATAATCACTTACGGCGCACGGGTATGCATCGAAAACTTTCGGCTTAGCCGTCTGTGCTTCAGGCAGCCCTTGGCACGGCGCCCTGTATTGGATGTTTTGCTGTGGATGCTTGGATGATGGATTGTTGTGGTATATTTGTGTTGGCAGGTCGGCAATGGCGCGCGTAAAAACTCATAATACTGAAAAACCATAAGCTCTGGGCCTTTCGGGCCAATATCAAACAAAATATGGGGCAGTGCCTTTTTAGATATAACAGCTGATTGGACTGATGTTTCGTTAGAGTAGTAGACTTTGATCGGCTGTCAGACCATGGCATATCTGTGCAATTCACTGATTGGTCGCCACATTTGTGGAACCCCGCCCTCGCCCCAACCATGTGGCCAAATTTGGCGCGACACCAATCCACGTGATCTGATTGGCTGACGCTGATCATTATGCCATATTTGGAATCCGCACCGCGCCGGGCGCCGACGTGCGCACCTACATACGGATAACTCTCATAGGCATTTCCCGTTTGATGCAACGGTTATCACTTCCCTGCATTGTTATTTAAGACATAAATGTGCCGGTAGCTCCATGACACAAGACACTTGGGGTCGCTGGAGTAGTTAGGATTTCGCTCACGAGGGGCCAGGTCAAAGTATTGGGGCTTTTTATCCAGTTGGGTCATCCTAGTCGCTATAAGAGCCCTTTTATTTTTATTCTGTAAGCATTTTCAGGCTCTGTACCTCATTTGGATGCCTCGTCTTGACATCTGGAAAGTCAAACAAGTGTCCTAAACAAATAAAAATTCGTGGTTCTCACCACATCCAAGGGGTCAGCTCCAAAAGCCCGCTTGGCTACGTCACGGCTTGGGAGACGAAAAGCTCTCGACCGCCCTATCCTGAGGAGAGCTCCTATCCGACGCATAGGCCTATTACAGCTACCCTGAACTTTTCATTCGTTTTGAGTTGCTTTGAACTGTTGGCTCCCATTTCCTTCGCAGACAGTGCTCGCCAGAACGCAACGGGCCTTGTTTTCTCAGGATATTTACAAATCGCAAAAAGGCCTTGTAGCCGTGGATGCTGGCGGCCATGAACGCTCACAGTGCTCTAGTAGGCGCGGTCTATGTCTACGCGGGTTTGGTAACTATATACATAACGCAAGCAACGTATATGTATCACAGCGGTGGACAACTATAACAGCAGTGGAGAGCGCGCGCCCTACACTCACCAGCTGGTGCAGCTGAGCCGGTTCCCTGATGGCGTTGATGTTGACCCCGCAGATCACTAGTGGCGCCTGGCGGACACACAAAACAGTGCTGGTTATTGTCAACGTCCCCCGCATTTCTAACAGAGCTGCTTCACGCAACTTGAGCGGTGATGAAGAGCTGAGATGAAGAGTTAGTCAGTCGTAAGCGTTTGGTTAAGGCGGAGGTTGGCACAACTCTGTTCAACCATTAATTCGTGAATTAATTTGCCATTTAATTGTTACAGGGAATGTTCACTTATGAAGATATTGCAGCAAGCATGAGATGCAATGAAACAAACTTCCTTATAACTATCGGTAACTTTTTTAAAAGAAAAATGCTCCTCTAGACAACATAATTCCTCTGCTTAGTGAATATACCGTTCAATACGCCGTTTTTTTATCACGTCATCGCACCTCGCACATCATTGATTGAGATCCAACGTACGGCCGTTACATTGGGAAATCGTGCTCACGAACGCCAGATATGAACGACTCGGCAATTATATTTGCATTGGCCCTAATCGATGCATGGCAAATGGTAGACCAGAATTTGAATGACGTTATTATGGCGTCGTGGATGCCGGGGTGACCTTGAAATAGTCTCCTCGAAATGGTCGCACATCTTCGCGGGCGTGTAGCACAGAAACTAGAGGGGATTAGGTCTTGAGAAGGGAAAGGCTGTGAACTGCACGGAATAATCTTCAAGATGGCTATTTCAGTTCAGAACTCAACACAAAAGTGGAACACTGCCTTCAACGGATTGACGCTTACGTAAACGTCAAAAATAATTCATTGTTCCTTTAATTTCAGTTGCCGTAAACTTATTCGGTAAGTTTTTAACTGGGTTTGGTGCGTTTACCTTCCGATAGGTGGCAGTTGGGGCTTGTTAGCGTGTGCGAATTCAACGGTTTGGGTCTTGGAATGAGAGTGATGGGAAAACGAGGTGGACGTTGATATGGTTTCTATTGGCACACATGGGAATGGGGTGGTATCTGCCCCCTTACACCTACTGGGCGAAATCCGTGGTACGGGACCTGAGCCAATTTGATTTCAATGACATCATCTTATCATAAGTGACGTAAAAAGCGTGATGCCTCAAGACTTTTTAAACCTCCGAGCGTGAAAATGATACTCAAGTTCGAGTACTGCCACCAAGCTTCAGGTAGCCGATTTTCGTTCTGTGTTGTGTCACAGGGGGGCCAGCCACCTTAGTGATCAATGCGATTTATTTTTGCACTGTGCGGCTACTTCTCAGACTAATAGCTGCTGACCCGAGTATTAAAATGTCAACTTCCTGACCTGCGTCAATTAACTGCATGCTGTTCGCATCTGTGTCGATACTGAAAAGCAAAATCACATTTTTTCAGAGAAAAGTTCCTCGGTCGAGAGCGGCGTGGACACCCGGAGCGAGACCACCGCGACAGGGGTATGAGCCAGCTACACTGAGGCCTGCTCGGTGCCCAGAACGCCATTATGGGCTGTAGCGTTTGTCTGAGTTGACCACATTGTTTCAATATGCAAACATAGGCATTGTAACATGGCTTAGGCTCAGCTTATGCTCAAATTAACTAGACTATGCGCGCATATTATGTCCATGCAAGTTTCGTGTCGCAAGTTCATGACCTGCAAGTTTCGTGTCACTGGTCGTGACGGTTTCTGATGTCTTAGGGGGGTGGGGGGGAAGGGTGGCCCCGCCTTTTGAAGAGCCTTAAGGGGCTAATTTCTTAAAACAAGTTAACGAATGACGGATTGACTTTAGCTTACATTGAATTCCTAAGCGATTTAGTGGATCAACTTTCACTGAGTCCACCTGCTCCTTTAACAGATTACCTTTAACGAAAACTGAATTATGGGTTGACTTTGTCTATCTATAGGTAAAGGCGAAGTGGACAGCTGGTGTACCGCGGAAAGGTCTTGGTAGACGTTGAGTAACCGATGTACGCTGTAGACGTGGTGGACAGCGGATGCCCGGTGCAGTCACGGTGGACAGTTGTTGGGCAGTGGACAGCAAATGTCCATTGAACATCTAGCGGAAGGTGGATGTTTGGTGCAAGCACAGTGAACAGCTGGCGTACAGTGATTAGATGATGGTGGACAGTGAACAATTGTTGACGGACAGCAGACAGCTGACAATCACTAGAGAGCTTGTAAACGCTGGATGTCTGGTGCTGCCACAGTGGGAAGTCACATACTGTAAGAGCTAGTAAACAGCGAGATATGCATCTGGATCCCAACGGTGATTCCAGGATCCCATGAGGCTCCATACTCATGGAATCCTTGGATTGGATCATAGAATCTCTTAGAGGGGTTCTAGGCATATGTCTGCAGTGAGGGGATAACTGATGCACGTGAAGTAGACTGCTGATGCTCAGTGGACAACTGGTACATATCGGACAGCTGGTAGACAGAGGGTTAGTTGGCAGTGACGACCTGGCGAACATTGGACAGCTGCCCAGAGAACGTAGCCAATTCCCTGCATCTGTACAAGGATCAGATGTTCTCCGATATCGTGTGGTGATGTCGTTAGATGTTCGTGGTGTATAGTCTGCCAGGCAGCGAAAAGTTGGTGTACACTGTACAACTGGGGTGCATAGGAAAACTTGTGAACAGTGGACTGGGGCGCTATGTCATTGGTAAAAAGACAGGAGATCGGATCAGATAACGGGGATCTGAGCCGTTCCTTTCCACGTTATGTCAAGTGGGCTGCACGTGCCTGCTGTGGAGGAGCGCGTGCAACTAGCAGTTACTGCGGAGAAGCGCGTGCGGCGGGCGGTCGCTGCGGAGGAGCGCGTGCGGCGGGCAGTCGCTGCGGAGGAGCGCGTGCGGCGGGCAGTCGCTGCGGAGGAGCGCGTGCGGCGGGCAGTCACCGCTCCGGCTGCACCGGCCGACGATGGTCGAGCGATGACCCCGCTGACCCCGCCGGCCGCGCCCCTGTCCTGCCACCACCCGCACCAAGGGGACCGGCTGTAGCAAGACCCCCCCTTCCCATCCCCTCCCCCTCCTCCTGAAGCATTTGGCTGCCAGCGCCTCAGCCGCTGGTCCGCTAACTTGGGCATCGGAGAGGCCTGCCGACCCGAAATAGCGCGCCCCTGGCGGCAAAACTGGCCCAAGGGCGGCCCTGCGAGCAGCGCCCTGGCGTCCGGACTGGGCCCCAGACCAGCTTCCACCCCGTGCGCAGAGCACGGACCCGAGCGCGGAACACCGTGACTCGGCAGCCAGACCCGAGCACGGGACACCGCGACTCGGGAGCCAGATCCGAGCACGGGACACCGCGATTCGGGAGCCAGACACGAACACGGAATACCGCGACTCGGGAGCCAGACCCGAGCACGGAACACCGCGACTCGGGAGCCAGACCCGAGCACGTGACACCGCGACTCGGGAACTAGACCCGAGCACAGGACATCAGTGAGGCAGATGAACAGAGGAAGGCAGTTTGCGACCGCGTGGTGGTACCCCGCCAACCATCGTTTTGTTCAATGGAAGTAGAAAGCTTCCGTATCGCCACTTCAATTTCTTTATTTTCTGCCACCTGTTCGTTCCTTACGCCGCATTTTTCAGTGAGGTTTTGACATTGCTCCCACAAAATGTTAGAAAAATGCGGTTCGCCGATGGCACAACCGCATCGCGATGCAGTATGTAGAACATGCCGACATGGCGCAAATAGCCGAAGCCCAGTCGGAAGTTCACAATGCACAGCTGTTGTCAACCTGATGAGGTTGGAAAGGTGTGGAGGTGTGAGGGAGTCATTTTTGTTCACTGATCCTCCTAATCCAACAAGCCGTATAGCTTGTACGGCTGCAGCTGATTTCTTGATAGATTTGGTCTAACAAAAAAAGGTTTAGTTAGTTAAGCCTTTTGGAGAGTTCGGGAAAACTCCTGATTAACTCAGAATATTTCGTTTCACACCAATTTCGCCCCACGCCGTGCTTCCACCGCATCCGCTTTTGCGCGAGCACATAGACTTTTGCGAACAGATAAGACGGACTATGAGAACACGCGTGCAAAGCCATGACATTTTCGAACGGGTATTTCCTTCACACACACGCTGCCACGCACAGACGATCGTAGTCTTTTACATGTTAAGATCGTTTGGACGAAAAAAAAACATGCGGATGCTGTGGAAATACGGCCCCGCCTGGTCACGTCTGCATTTTAGCCAATACGTTAAGGCCGGAGACGGAACGCCACCATTGCAATATTTTAAGCCTGACCTGAGACTGCGACATTAGTTAATGTAAAATACTTATTTTAGGAGTCGAGATTATCGGTTTGTTTTACTGAACATCAGTATATAATCTTTTTAGGAGACCTAGCTTTGTAAGGGCCGAATCGAGTTGTAGCATAGAGCGCTGCCAGCGAGCGGTTTGCTCGAGTCAGGAAGTTACACGCGAACTGACACGGTGGAGTCTGGTCACTGGCCAGACAGCGTGACAGCTCAGACCCTCAGATTACGTGGACCTGGAACACATAAGACTTCCTACCACGTACAGCTCATCGGAGGACGCCACAACCAGCGCACCTCTGGGCTCTTTTGAGCCAGGTCCAGAAACTCTTCCGATCCCAGATCAGAGGACGCCTGGCCTCAGGCTTTTGCCCATAGATCTCATGACAACGACGACAGCGTCTATGGGATGACCTCTCTGAAACTGTTTCCCGAAAATGGACAAAAAAAGAACGTGAAGTACTTCATCTCGCGCACCCGTTTATGGAGCGCTAGCAACGGCGGACGCCAGATTAGCCCAACCAAACATGTTTGGTGTTTTCCCTTCGGGTTCCCTGCTCAATAACTATAAAGTTGAGGCCTCCCTTATTAAGTGACGGGTCGGCCGGCAGCAGTGCGGGCCGGGCCTTGTTTGGCAGAGCAGCGCGGCCGAACACCACGCGGGGCTGGCGCACTGGCCCCCTCCGCCGCCCCCTCTCCTGCGGCCACGATCGACACTGACCGGTGTGGCTGTAGAGACCCTGCCGGCGCCTCACCTTCCAGGAGCTGGCCATGTTGGTCTGTGAGGTGCGTGGCCGGCTGGCCTGCTTCGGTCGGCGGTCGGCCGGGGTCAGCGAGTCCGCTGCGTGCTCACCACTCACTGGCCCGCGTCGACGCCGATCTCCGGGGCGCTCACTGGTCACGGCCGGCGGTGCGGCGAGCGGCGGGGCGGACCACGGACCGGGACCACAGGCAGGGACCACACGCGGCCGGCGGACAACAGCCACGCTCGCCACGCCGCCGGCCGACCGGGGCTATTTTGAAATTTGGCAGTGGCGGCCGCCAGCGACGTCAGCTAAAATTAGCGCCGGGGCCGAGCGGCCAGTGTCGAGCCCCGATTGGCTTCTTCAGGCCAGCGGGGCGAGCGACGTGGGATGACGGCCTTCGCAGCCGTCACAGGCTCGAGCCGGCCAGCCCGGCTGGCAGCCCTCCCGCTGGATCCAGATCGGCTGGGACTTCGGGCGGCGCGGCCGCCGGCTCTCGCGCGCCCGCCCAGTCGCGCTGTTCGACGCGTGATCCGACGACGGTCGGCGAAACTCATGTCAGAGGTCTGGCCAAACGCCGCATGGGCGGCTTTGCGACAGAACGGTACAAGCGCACGCGGCATCCTGTTTTCATGTGAAGAATGGAGCACTTGTGTATTTTCTGAGTGGACAATTTTGTTCGTCTTTTCAGGCCGCTCCCTGGATTATTTTTGATTGCTGTAACCACTAACCTGTAGCATAGGCAGCTATGCTATGCTATATTCCAGTAGTTCTGGGGCTCAGCCCGGATACTTCCAGGGGATGGGGCACCGCATCATCTCTCCGGCCAACAGGAAGTTGTAACGACTTTGGTATCCACCACAGCATTCCTTTTCCCACTGACGGCTCCGACGATAAGTCAGTTTTACGCTCCGGTGGTGTCAAAGATGCATCAGTGATAATGCATGAATTTCGAATCCACATCTTTGTACGAGCTGCCCAAAACACGCAGGGTTAATGATGTATATAAGCTGCAGATGTACAAATGGCACTGGTGGATATGTGGGCTCCATCACGACTGAAATATTCGCATAAACAAGTGCGGTGTCTGTTGATCATTTCCGGTTTTATCCATCGACTTCCTGATATTTTTTTGGAGACCATCCATTCAACCACGCATGTTCGGAAAGGAACATAAGGCGATCCCACGATCCCAAAGCGGAAAGTAACGCATTTTCATAAACGTAAATAAAACATGAGTAAAAGTCTTATTCCTTTTAGAAAAATCAGGAGAATGGAGGTAAAGATGTGAAGAATTATCTGAAGAATAAGACTATTCCTTCTGTCGTATCTATGTGCATAATGTTCCTCGCAAATGCACTAACAACTTACGTATTTTCATATACTAATGACATCTGGCAGATGCTAGCGCCACTTTCAACAAGGCATTAGGACGTCTGCTCTCACGAGTAATTGGCATATTGCCACAGTTCCGCAAACTGTCGTAATCATTCTGTATTTGTTTGTCTTTCGGGAAGGACAGTTTGGTCTCTTGAGGCAAATATACTCATAACAGCACGCACGTCTATCAGTGAGCATTCACTCTGATGCTGTTTGACAGTGATGCGTTAGTGATGGATTGCTTACGAAGTGGGAAAAACATCCGTGCCTTAACACGCGTCCGGGTGGCCGGTTAAATATCCTTCGCTTGGCTTGGGTTCAGCTTGACCCACTGAGATATCAACACTAAAAGAGCTATAGACACCAAATTAGCCGGGTGGGTTAGCATGTATGGGAATTCGCTCGCGTCAAACTACAAGCTTCAAAATGCATTTCCATGCATTTGTCCCTTATCACCTCGACTGTTGCCGGGGTGAGACGTCAGGGGCAGCGTCTCCCCGCATCTCCCAGGGACACGCGATTCGCCACGGCGGACCGCCGGCACGGCCGCCGCCGGCAGGCAGCCACACGGCGACCAGCTAACAATGGCGACTCCCGCCTGGCGTCGATGCCTGGGCCAGCTGCAGCCTTCCGTCGCCCGTCCCTGAGCGGCGCCGGCGTCATGTGTGCACCAAACGCTTCGCAAGTCGGAAAGCGTAGCTGACTGCTGGTGTTGGTAGAATGCATGGGAGGGCCAATACAGGACTGGCATTGGATTGCAGCATTTACCCGTGCCTGCCGTGGTCTGCTGGGTTTAAGTGGGGGTGCGGTTCTTGCACACTCATGGATGGAGGAACGACACATGTCAATAACTATCTGTAGACAGGGTAGCGGGGGGGGGGGACTATAACATCACTTTGGACCTTTCGAGGTCGTTCTTCCTATGCATGGCAGCAGACCAGTGTGGGGAGGGGAGGCTTCAGTCCTCAAAAGTTGCAGAGTGGCCGGCTGGCCTCCCGCCGGGCAGGAGCGGCGCCTGGCTTGGCCGGCTTCGTCGCCGGTTGCGGACGGCAGCCCAGCGCCCGGTCCGGCTCGGCGCTCCGCCAGTCGACACGGTCAGGCGACCTGCCAACACCAACAGAGCGACGGCGCCGGCGGCAGTGCTGCCACCTGCGGTGACCGCCGACCCCATCCGGGCACACGCCGGGCCCGCCTCGTGCCGCCGCCACCAGCTCCAGGGAACACAAATACACGGCAACGTGCTGCGACATCACCCCCCCCCCCGGTGGGCCCCTCAGGTCCAGGCTGCGTGTCACGTCTGCCAGGTGGTACGAATGAATAGTCTCGTCATGCCTTACAACTGGCTACGCAGGGAGAGCAGTTGGTGCTGCGCGCCGGCAGCATGAGAGTCGACCGAACGACTTCACGCCGGCCGCCGCTGTTCGTTTCATGAAGCAGCTGTCCGGTCCTATGTAATCTTTCCCAGGTTAGCAGGCGCCACATGGTTGATGTGGACGCGACTAGCACTTTGATCCCGCCATAGCCCCATCGGACGGCGTAAAACGGTGGTCATGGGCGGGTAATGCACGTGCATTGCACCTATTTAAGCAGTGGTTTAACAGCGACGATGTCCGGCCCGTCCCCATAGCTCGCACCAGTCGCTCAGCAGTGACGCGATCCTGCCCGTCCACACGGCTCGCTGCAGTCGCTCAGCAGTGACGCGATCCCGCCCGTCCACAGGGCTCGCTCCAGTCGCTCAGCAGTGACGCGATCCCGCCCGTCCCCACAGCTTGCTCCAGTCGCTCAGCAGTGACGCGAGCCCGCCTGTCCACACGGCTCGCCCCAGTCGCTCAGCAGTGGCGCGATCCCGCCCGTCCACACGGCTCGCCCCAGTCGCTCAGCAGTGACGCGATCCCGCCTGTCCACACGGCTCGCTCCGGTGGTTAAGCACTGACGGTGTCCGGCCCGTCCACACGGATCGCTCCGGTCGCTAAGCAGCGACGCTGTCCAGCCCGTCCACACGGCTCGCTCCGGTGGCTGGACCCGCACGCAGTAGGGACTCCCCTGAAGAGGCGGTGCTGCGCGGCTCACCCGGCGTGGCGCCGGTGGCTGGCACACCCCGCCGGTCTCTGCCGTACCACGGAGGGGGGGGGGGGGGGCTGCCGGCCCGTCACGTGCTGGGTGTGACCGTCTCTGGCCGAGAACTATCGACCGACGCCAACCTTTACACTCACACTGCCGGCCGGCTCTGCGTAGTTCACGGCCTATGGTCTCACCGGTATCTGACGTCGATTGTGATGCGGATGACCGTGCAAACGCGTTATGAGGAACGTAAGCGCGTCTCGAGCTGATATTCTTCACCGCCAGTGGGTGGACCAACAGACCAGTTTCGCTAAATACTAAAAACACTATATTTTCGCGCACTCATAACTGGCCCACAGCTGTGTAAACATTGTGGCCACGTATCACTGGTGCACTGTTGATCAGGCAGCATCGAGCGCGGCCCGGGGCTCAGCTCCCGACGGGCCAGGCGCGGGAGCCCCCGACGGCCAGGCGCATGAGCTCCCGACGGGCCAGGCGCGGGAGCTCCCGATGGACCAGGCACGGGAGCTCCCGACGGCCTACTTGCCCAGCAACGAACCCTTCATCATTTCGTGCACTTTGGCTTTCAGACCCTGGAACAGAGACGCACAGTCAGCTGAACGTGGTGACGGAGATCAATCTCAAAGTGTCTAACTGCTGTCTGGCTTACATAGGCTCCACAACTGCGCACATTCAGCCCTTTCGCAGTAGGACATCACGACCCATCATTCGAAGAGAGCCTTAGCCAACATTGGAATCGACAACCCCGTGGGCCCCGGGCCCGTTGACGACCCTAATTGGTTGGGACTTCACGCGGGTACAGGGAAAACGCGTGTCCTAAATTTGACGATTGATCGCAAGGTCCTTCATGGAAGGGGAATCACGTGATTCTGCTCTATTCGAATGAACTGAGCGAATGCAGGCGATTGCATGGTGTGGTCAACGCGATCATGCTTCGAATCGGCGCTACACTCACAAGTTACTGGGACCCTGTAAACTTGGCATACAGCAGAAGTTCACCGAGCGCACAGCCCAATAGAAAACAGCTAACAGGCAAGAGATGCCTCAGTCAGCACATAGCCATGGCGACTGGTACTCATCTATCCTGAATACTGGTGCAAACCTACAGCACGGCCGGTTCTGAGCCGTGTGTAGCCGCGTGCAACATCAACTATTGGCACGAATACCACGTCCGTTTTGCCCGGCAAAGCTAGGATCCGTTCAGCGTGTCCAGGTGTTGGCGATGATCCCGAGACAGGGTTCAGGGAGCGAGACCCACAGGCGCCGCACGCCTCAGGCCAAAGTAAGTATCTGTAGTATCGTCCGCTCTCACAGCCCGACCAAACACTAAGTCAGGTGTTACCGTGAGTATTTGCCCACTTCCTGGGTAATAACAATAGCAATAATATAACGTCCGAGGCGTCCGAACACGTCGCGCCCCCGCCACGCGCCACCACCCAAGGCCAACTCTCTCGCGCAACTGCCACTTGCCTGGCGCGTAGGCGCCCTAAACAACTGCCATACACCACAGCATCCTCGCAAACCACACTGCCGAGGAGCACGTAAAATGATGTTGGCTAGCTGGCGACCGGTAACTCCAGCAGTGCGAAAACAAATTGACAATATTTAAAAGGCGTATCTATATGATGCTGGCATCTACGGACCCCGTACGAACGACAGAGTGATGACTGTAAACGTGAACTCCCCCCCCCCCCCCCCCCCACTGAATCCAATGCATTGAACCCCGGTCGTGTCACCACCGCACGGCGGTGTCCCGCACCACGGGTCCGAGGGACTGCGGCAGTGTCCGGCACCACGGGTCCGAGGGACTGCGGCGGTATCCGGCACCACGGGTCCGAGGGACTGCGGCGGTGTCCGGCACCACGGGTTCGAGGGACTGCGGCGGTGTTCGGCACCACGGGTCCGGAGGACTGCAGGAGTGTCCGGCACCACGGGTTCGAGGGACTGCGGCGGTGCCCGACTTCACGCTGACGAAGGAGACGACAGCTCGGCCAACAGGACAGCGTGGGCCACAGAGGGCCGACTACGGACCCGCGGGGTCGGCACGTGACATCGAGTGCCGTGTACAGCTACCGCGGCGCGTTCATGCAGTGTTGGCCATAGCCAAGGAGAGCCTCAGTAACTCCACGGTCACCAGAGCCCCGCCAACACATGGGATCAGCTCTCGCCTCCCGGCGCGCGGGCGGTGACAGCCCCCACCGGAGCCCCACCGCCAGCGGGCCGTCGCTGCCGGCTCGCCGAGTCCTCTGACCTCTGCCATCTGGGCGACCAGAGCGCTGCTGGAGCGGCCGGGCGCCGGGCCGGGACCAGCCGCCGGCCGGCCGGAGCCGTTGGCCGCCGCCGCCGCCGCTGCCGCCCGGCGCTCCAGCTTCCTCTTGAGCTCGGCGATCGCCTGGTCGGTGTGCAGCGGCTCCTCGACCTTACGCGGCGCCGGCGCGTCCGGCTGCGCGACATCCTGCTCGTCCGTAGCCGGCGGCGAGGCGGACCTGACGTGAAAAGGACCCAGCGTCACGGCGGGCGCAGCGTCACGGCGGGCCCAGCATCACGGCATACCCAGCGTCACGGCGGGCCCATCATCACTGCATCCCAGCGTCACGTGGAGCAGCGTCACGGCATACCCAGCGTCACGGCGGGCGCAGCGTCACGGCATACCCAGCGTCACGGCGGGCGCAGCGTCACGGCATACCCAGCGTCACGGCGGACGCAGCGTCACGGCATACCCGGCGTCACGGCGGGAGCAGCGTCACGGCGGGCCCCGCATCACGCTGTCATACCCCAGCGTCACTGCAGGCCTAGCGTCACGGCATACCCAGCGTCACGGCGGGAGCAGCGTCACGGCGGGCCCAGCATCACGGCAAACCCAGCGTCACGGCGGGCCCAGCGTCGCGGCATATCCAGCGTCACGGCGGGCCCAGCGTCACGGCGGGCCCAGCGTCACGGAGGGCCCAGCGTCACGGTGGTCCCAACGTCACGGCATACCCAGCGTCAGGGAGGACTCAGCGTCACGGAGGGCCCGGCGTCACAGAGGGCCTAGCGTCACGGCGGGCCCAGCGTCACGAAGGGCCCTGCAATGTGGAAGGACCAGCATCACGGCGGACGCGCCGACCGTCGATAATGCGCAACATACGCGCAAACAGACGGGAAACCGACACGGTCGTACTGTGTGCTCATAGAACACATGGGGTTAGCAGAGCACAGCATGGTCACAGAAGGAGCCGCCACCCGGAGGATCTGTGGCGGCATTGAGGAGCACATAGGGCCAGAACAGTCTGGAGGGGCAGCAGCTGTGTTCGGCACCCGCCAGGCACTATGGTCGGTTTTGAACATCCCATCTGGGGGCGTCACGCACTCTTGTCTGTCGCTGAGAGGGGTCACAAGGAGCTGCTGGGCCTGACAGGCGCACAATCACAAACACACAAACACAAATGCATGAGAACTGCCGCGTGCACGTGAAGACCAAGCGTGACGGACAAGGTTGGACCTGGATTCGGTCCAACCTTGCCCGTACCTGGACCAGGCCAGGTTCTCCCGTTTGTACCTGGATTAGGTCAGGTTCTGCCGTCCATACCTGGACTAGGTAAGGCCCTGCCGCTCAAATCTGGAGTAGGTCAGGTCCTGCCATCCGTACCTGGACTAGGTAAGGCTCTGCCATTCATACCTGGAGCAGGTCAGGTCCTGCCGTCCGTACCTGGACTAGGTAAGGTCCTGCCGTTCATACCTGGAGTAGGTCAGGTCCTGCCGTCCGTACCTGGACTAGGTAAGGCCCTGCCGCTCATACCTGGAGTAGGTCAGGTCCTGCGTCCGTACCTGGACTAGGTAAGGCCCTGCTGTTCATACCTGGAGCAGGTCAGGTCCTGTCGTCCGTGCCTGGACTAGGCAAGGCCCTGCCGTTCATACCTGGAGTAGGTCAGGTCCTGCCGTCCGTACCTGGAGGAGGCCGGTGCGCTGGAGCCGGACGGCGAGGAGGCGCGGCCGCTGGTGGCAGACGGCACCGGCGTGCCGTCGCGAGGTGAGGTGGCGCCACTGATGGGCGGCGATGGCCGACGCTCCGGGGACGTCAGGTCACTGCCAGAGAGCGGTGCCCGGTGACGGGGCTGCCGGCCGATAGTCCCAAGGCCACGCCCACCACCGACACCGAGACCGAAGCACCGCTGCGCGCGCGCATCGATAACGGCTCCAGTACGCCCGGCGCCTCTAAACAGGTGCATCGAAACAAACACACCCATCGCATGCGCGCAAGAATCCAACTCCTTTGAAGAGGCGCCAAGTGAAACCACCACGTATGCTTCCCGAGCAGGCGAAAATACTGAAGCGGCGTCAGTTGGCCAGCATGATTCCTGGCTCTGCAGCTCGGTACACCGGTGTCCTGCTAGGCCTGGTGATCAGTCAGCCCGGCCCGTACGTACATGACGTCTCCAGGGTTGGCTGGCGAGCGGGGCGGTCGGCCGGGGCTCCGTGTGATCTCGGCCACCCGCTCCACGGACGGCGCGCGCGCCGGCCCGGCCGGGGACCGGCTCGGTGACCTGGGGGCACGCCGCACCCATACAGCCCTCCACAGCTGACCGGACGCGCCAGCTAACCGTGCAGGGCCCACCGAGTGCGGCTGCTCGGCAGCGCATCAAGGTGCCTATCCAGGGGGACAGATGACCCCAGGAACCACAAAACAACTCAAACAGTCCTTGACGGAGGGGGTGTAGTGGGAGTGAGTGGAGTGGAGGGGGTGTAGTAGAATGGGGCTGAGTCACCGGGAGACGAGATCATCCTACTTCTTCAGCGAGTCTCACAAACCCAGCGCATCTCCATGCCACAAAACACAGACTCGTAAGTCAGAACTACCAAACCGCCGATACCATCAAATGTCACCAACCAAAAACATGACGAAGTCTGCGAATATATCAAACGCGCTAATGCATGACGCTACCGTGAATTTTCGTCCCCCAGTTATCATGCCGAGTTACCAAAGTTAGACAATGTATTCTCACAGCTGTATGCAATAAGCTTCTGCGTCACTGAGCGGCCGACACGGCCAACGAGACGTTTACAGCTCCTCCGTCCAAGCGTCAATAGCCCTCTCCCCTCTCTCTATCCCTCCTCTCCCTCTCCCTCTCCCCTAACTGGCAGACCGCAGCCATGGACAGACAACACGCGAACAGGACGGAAGCGAGCCCCGCCGATCCGCGATCCATACGGCTCGGCACCACTGTTGTGATGAGCTGTGAGCCGGCGCGCTGCCCCCACGGTCTCTGCGATGACACCACAACGACGAGGCCACACACAAGGGTAAACGAAAAGAAAAGTGGCCTTTTACCTTTTGGAGCGTTTGCTCTTTTTCGACTTGTGTTTATGTCTGGAGGAGTGAGACCTTTTTCTCTTGGTGCGGACGGGGGACCTGCAAAATGACGCGGGTCTTAGACGGAACTCCTGGCGCCGGCAAGCGCAGTCCACTGTCTCGGTCAGCCGGGTGCATGTCAGTACACACAGCATACCGGCCGGAAGGAAGAACAAGGCCAGGTCGGACAGCAGCCGCCGACGAACACTGGGCCCATCCACTCAGCGGGCCAGGTCGGACAGCAACCGCCGACGAACACTGGGCCATCCACTCAGCGGGCCAGGTCGGACAGCTACCGCCGACGAACACTGGGCCCATCCTACTCAGCGGGCCAGGTCGGACAGCTACCGCCGACGAATACTGGGCCCACCCACTCGGTGGGCCGACCACCACCTGCCTTCGAGGATGGCTGGACTTTCGAAGCATCATGCAGGCACCGATCTGGCAGTGGGGTATGGTCATCACCGACCCTGGGCCGCCATGGTCATCACCGACCAGGAGCCTCCTCGGTTATAACCAACCTGGGGCCTCCCCAGTTTTACCGACCCGGGGCCTATCCAGTCATAACAGACCTGGGGTCTCCCCAGTTATAACCGGCCCGGGCCTCCCCGGTTATAACCGACCAGGAGCCTCCTCGGTTATAACCAACCCGAGGCCTCCCCAGTTGCAGCCGACCCGGGGCTTTCCCGGTTGTAACCGACCTGGGGCCTCCCCAGTCGGCAGTGGAGGGAGAGGGACGCTTACCGGGAGCGTGTCGGCCTGGCGGTGCGCCGCCAGTGCATGTCTGAGACGGGAGCCGGCGCGGCACCAGGGGACTGCAGCCTGTCGGGCAGACGGCGTCGGAGTCAGTCGCGCCGGGCAGTCGGTCACACGCACTTACAAACACAATGCATGCTCGCTCTGATCCCACCCCTACCAATGCTCACCATACACTGCACCTCAGCCAGCAGCCACAAGTTTACCACCATCAAACAGTTAAACCCAGTAAATTCACCCCACTAAGCCACACATTCCACTTGAAACCGACATCTAAAGCACCCCACCTCTCCCCCTCCCCACAAGCAATTCCGAAACAAACCTTTGACATGCCGAAACCAGCTGGTCACACATATAACCACATGGGCGCGCTACACATCCCAACAGAATTGGTCAGCCACACTCGCCCTATCCCGCCTGGTCCCTCTGATTCCCTCTAGCTCACTGTTGCCCATACACGCTACAGCTTAACCCGTTACACTGGAGCCTGCTGAGCACCCGCCCAGTTTGCTCCGCGCGGGGCCATTCAGCTGGTCTGGCCCGAGTGTAGCGTCAGCCGCCAGCGCCGGCGCCGAAGCCGAACACGCACCTCTTGTACGAGGCCGGCGGGCTGCGCGGCCGCTTCTTGCGCTTGCGGTGGCGGGGCGGTGAGCGGGAACCGGAGCGGGAGCGGGAGCGGGAGGCGGGCGCCGCCCCGCTCTCCTCGCCGCCGTCCGAGCCGTGCTGCCGGTGATGACGCCGCCGTCGCTGATGCGAGCGCTTCTTGTGCCGGTGCCGGTGGCGGCGCTGCTCCTGGCGATGGCCGCCCTCGCCCAACTCACTGGCGCCCCGACTGTCCCGGCTCCCATGACGCTCGCTGGCGTCTCGACCGCCACGGCTCCCATGGCGCTCGCTGGCGCCTCGACCGCCACGGCTCCCATGGCGCTCGTTGGCGTCTCGACGGCCACGGCTCCTATGGCGCTCGCTGGTGTCTCGACTGCCACGGTTTCTATGGCGCTCGCTGGCGCCTAGACTGCCACGGCTCCTATGGCGCTCACTGGCGCCTCGACTGCCACGGCTCCCATGGCGCTCACTGGCGCCTCGACTGCCACGGCTCCCATGACGCTCACTGGCGCTTCGACTGCCACGGTGCTCACTGGCGCCTCGACTGCCTTGGCGCTCACTTGCGCCTCGGCTACCACGGTGTTCACTGGCGCCTCGACTGCCCCGGTGTTCACTGGCGACGCGGCTGCCACCGCTACCGCGGTGGTCGCTGGCGCTGGCGCCCCCACTGTCCTGGCCGTCGCTGACGCTGGCGCCTCGGCTGGCGCGCCGGTCGGCGCCGCTGTCCGGCCGGCTGGCGCGCCGGTCGCTGTGCTGGTCGCTGGGCGGGGTGCTGGCTCGGCTGGCGTCGTCGGCCGCGTACTCAGGTACCGAGTGGGGTGAGTCTGCCGGCAGCGTGCGCACGTCACCGGCAGCCACAGGGGCGCGCGGGGCGGAGGCAGCCGGGCGGACAGCGGCGCACCGTCGGCGCCCACTGGTGCTGCAGCTGTCTCTCGCATCAGCCCCGTTACAATGCTAACGGATGGCGACGGGACGCGGCGCGCTGTACAATGCGAAATGGTATGCACGTCAATGTTTCTTTTTTAACGCATAAGAGGGAAATACCGCACCGAAACGCCGTGACTAATTATGTCCATCAAACATATCGATAACACATTAACGACAAAGGTCCGTTATCGATTGTTTCATAAACCAATCAACTGGCTTATTTGATGAATTTTAAGTCAAGTGACTTATAGATTAACGGTTGACATATCTCATTTGGTCTATAACGAGCCCATGGACTGGCTGATGTAACATACCATACGCTATACGTGCATACCACACACACTCTTTCATATACTATACGTACACACGTACGCACCTTTATATCCCGTACGTACCTACGTACCTTCATGCACCATACATGCCGACATACCTATATACACACCTATGTATGCCATATGTACATGCCAAATGAACAAATCATACATAGTTTTGTACCATCAAAATATTGCATTCTGAGGTGATGTAAGAAAAGGCAACCCAGGTCCTCGTATCTGCTGAACTGAGCACGGCTAGCCGGTCCGGTGCGGGAGACGGCCGCTCGCGGGAGACGGCCGGTCCGGCGCGGGAGCGGCCGGTCGCGGGAGGCGGCCGCACCGGTGCGGGAGGCAGCCGCTCGCGGGAGGCGGCCGGTCCGGTGCGGGAGCGGCCGGTCGCGGGAGGCGGCCGCACCGGTGCGGGAGGCAGCCGCTCACGGGAGGCGGCCGGTCCGGCGCGGGAGTCGGCCGCTCGTGATGTCACGCCGCGTCCGGCACGCCTACCTGAGTCCACCAGCTTGTACTTGTCCAGGTCGGCCTCGTCCCCACTCTCCTCCTGCTCCTCCTCCTGCTGCTGTTCCTGCTCCTGCTCCTGCTCGGGCGTCTGCGTCGGCCCGGGCGAGGGCGGACCGTGCCGCTCCGGCCACAGTTCACCTCCGGCCGCCGCCGGCTCCGAGCCAGAGTTGGACTCCGAGTCAGAGTCCGAGTGTGCCGGCAGCGGGCCGGGTGGAAGCTGGGGCCCTGCGGGCATGAGTCAGGCTCAGTCGCCAGCTGATGACGGCCGACCGCTGGCTGTCGAGCGCTGCCCGCTGTCAGCCGGTCGGGGCACGGACGCAGGTTACGGCGCGCTCCTGACCTATGGCGGTGACCCGAACACTACACTGTGATGTCCATAACGCACCCGCCAATGCCACGAATTCCACCTTTTCGCACCCCAGCGCTTGTCGTCAGATCCATCAAGACAGCAAGGGAGATACGCAATCACTTGGTTTTGTCATAATGTTCATATCTGATATTATCACGTTTACGAATCTGGTCCCATGGGATCAAATGAATAAGTACCGCAAAAATAAGTTGACCATCACAAAGATGATGAAACAAAAACCTTTCCTAACTAAAACTAACCAAATTATCTTGATAGCCTTGACATCAAATGGTTTTCAGTCCTGTTTACCTGAATTGTCGGGCATTTCAGACTTGGCGCCAAATAATGTCTCTGTGCATTAATGCTAGCTTGAAAAGGTCTAAAGTATCACAAACACGACGCAGGTAACAGTGTTAATAACCTTGTTTCTTCGAGAAAACCACGAGAATGACGATATAGATGGGTTGATATTTCGACAACATGCCTTTATCGAAACAATAGCAGAAGATCTTTATCGAAACATAAGCACTTATGCTATTGTTTCGACAAAGGTATGTTGCAGAAATATCAACCCATCTATATCTCCATTCATGTTTTTTTTTCTCCTAGGAACAAGGTTATTACTATTGCCTTATCTAGGTGAATAGTGATCCTCGCAAATGAACTAAACAACTTACAAACGCAAGTAGAATAATGCCTATACATGCCAGTCCCGAAATGAGCGTGGTGGAACTTGGTGTCAACAGGCCATGTGACAAAAATCAGCCCAGCCTCACAATACAGCAGCATCGCCCATCATTTTGAACTACCAAGTCCAAACAGGACATTACCTATGATCGGCTGCTTGTGTTTGTCCACGTCCTGGCGCAGTTTGGCGAGGAACTGGGCGGCCCGCCTCTTGCGGTCCAGCTGGATCTCATCGCGGCCCACGCCGGGGGCGGGCGCCACCAGCGGCACCTGGCGCGTCTGCCTCTTCGACCCGTCCCCCCGTGAGGCCACCGCTGGTGGTCCAGCCGACGCTCCACCTGATGGAGAGACAGGCTGCTCAGCTGAAGCCGATGCCTACCTCACAGCCGTAAGGACAGTGTTAGCCGGCCTTTCGCCCGGAGTTTTCTCTGCGGACCAGCTATTCACGGACACTCCACGCAAATGGCAAGGCAATCGCAGTCACTCCAGGTGTCTTAAAAGGGGTGAGAAGCTGAATTTGTGCTTTTTTGAAAATATGGAGAGACATAGGTAGCTGTTTTCATTACGTTTTAAGGTGATACTCAAATTGTGTGACATATAAAACAATTGTTTGGACAATCGTCCCTAGTTTGGTATGTTAGTAACTACGTCCATGCGTATCGCGTAGATACTAACACCTTATGCGCGGAAGACAACCCAAACAATCATTCCATCCGTGATACTATCCCCCAGTCTCAATCATTACAAACGACTCAACTACATAATTCGTTCCATCGAACTAGCATTCCATGTTTGTAAAGAGCTTGCAGGCCACTTGCTTCCATGGCAGCATGGTTGGTAGCGTGGTGGCCACAGTGTGGTGGTGCCCTTCCAGACTACCACCTGCACAACACCGCACACCGCAGAGGAGAGCGAGCGCGCACGCCGGCGTGCCGCGGCCGCCCCGCTGGCCGCCGGCCGCGGTCACCTCTCTCCTGCCGGACGTCGCCGTTGGTCTCGGCGGTGGCGGCTGTGGCGGCGGCGGTGGGGGCGGCTGCCGCGGCGGCGGTGGCGGCGGCCGGCTGCCCCGCCTCGTCGGCCTCCTCCTCGCTCTCCTCGAGCGGTAGGGCGCTCCGCTCCAGCGGCGTCGACTCCTTGTCAGACTTGGGCCGGATCGAGAACGACACAGGCACTGGACGGCCGCAGACCAGCATGGCTCAGTCACACGGCACCCGCGTGTGTGTGGGGGGGGGGGGGGGGGGAGTCACGAGAGGCGCGGGGCCGCCACACGCGAACGGAACAAGCGACACGATCAGGAGCTGGGCACCACGGCATGTGGATAGTGGGGAAGGCCACGCACTACCCACACACAGCCGGAGGCCGGCTCGCGATAGTTAATCACCACAGAATGAGCAGGCAATGGACGTGTTTTTGGAAACCAACATTGACCGCCGAGCGACCCTGGACGAGGTCTCCACCCGCCCAGCATTTCATATATTTTGTTTCACACAAGCGGTGCCGGCGTGGCACGCGGGCCGGTCAGCCATTTACACATGGCGCTAGACCTAGCCGACCGCAGGCAAACGCCCTACAGCTGGGGACAGCAAGCTGAAGACATGGCGGCGACCTACCTGGCTTGTTGGCCTTGTCGGTGTCGGCCGCCGCCGCCGGTGGCGGCTTGGTCTTGCCCAGATCTCGCTCGTACTGCACCAGCTTCTGGCGGTAGTAGGCGTGATGCTTGTGCGTCTCCTTCAGGAAGCTGAAGCGCTCGTCCCCTGAGGGCACGGGCACACGAGCGAGTGTGGCGGCGTGCAGACAGCTGCGTCGTCCCCACAGCGGCCGGCGGACGGCTGCCGACGCGGTCTCACACCGCCTGCAGCGCCGGACGACAGTGATGGCCCCGGACCAGCCCGCCCACGCCGCCAGGTGGCCGCGCCCCGCTGACACCGGCTCGCCGCTCACCTCGGCCCATCACGATGCCCTCGAAGTCGCGGCCGTTCTTGGCCACGTAGCTGGCCATCTTGTCGATGATGAGTCGGACGTCGGCCGGCGGCGGCGGCACGGCGGCCGGCGCTGCCGGCCCCGGCCGCGCCCCGTCAGCAGCGACGCCGGCAGCGGCGGGGGAGGCGGCGGGGGAGGCGGCGGAGGCGGCGACTGGCTTGTCAGCGGCGCCAGCCGCGCCCGCCGGCGCCGGCGAGGAGGCGGCGCCGGCGGCCGGCACCGGGCTGGAGGTGCCGCTGCCGGCAGGACTGTCCGTCGCCTGCCGCGACCGAATGTTCTTCACCAGCAGCTGGTACGCGCAGTTGGCCGACGGCTGGTACATCACGTCCACCTTGCCCGGAGCCTGGCGGAGGGACACGCTGCAGTCACGCTCTGCGGCCGCACGTGGCAGCAGCGTTCACCATACGACGGCAATACCGATGGTCAGCATCCGTCAAACGGATGGCCGGTCTTTTAAGTGGACACCGTATTCAAGGTTCGTCTTCACCAACCATTTACGCAGCTTTGGCTTATCACAGGCCCAGCGCGCACCAACGCCGCTGGGGCTGTCTGCAGTCCGAACCTCATGAGGCATGTTTATAAATTTAAACGTCCTTTTGGCGAAGAAAACAACGTTCTGCAACAGCTAGTGATAGCTGAAGGTGGCCACGTTTCGGGCGAGCTGTTGGGAAGAACGCTTGCTAGCATACATACTATGTCCGGACGGCTGAGATTCAGCGCCGGGTGCAGATATGCCTCATCCTCTCCTTCTGAAAAAGGACGACCAGAATCAAAAGACAATCACGTGCCACTCGGGGCCATGCGGCGCGTGACGGCATCTCGTATTGCCTGTCCAGTTCGGGACTTTCCAAAACCCCAGCTGCCGGCCGGTCATTCAGCCAGACAGTGACCGGTCATTCAGCCAGACAGTGACCGGTCATTCAGCCAGACAGTGACCACGCCGGCCAGGCCCGCTTCCTATAAGCCGGCAGAACGATGTAAATTGCATGAGGAAGACTGGAGCTGTGATTATTCCTCGATGTCTTGGGATCGTTTTGATACGAAACGCCACGACCGAAGGATCCGGAGCAGTCGTTGCAATGCAAAGGCTTTCTACATTAGGAGCGTGTGCACGTCTGGGAGCCGCCACAGGACGGCGGGCCGTGACAGCCGGCACCGACCGAGCCCCACCCCCGGGGTCACGGTCGTCACAGCCGGCGCTGACCGAGCCCCACCCCAGGGGTCACGGTCGTCACAGCCGACGCCGACTGAGCCCCGCCCCCAGGGTCACGGTCGGCGGCGCTCACCTGGCTTCTGCGGTCCGATGGTGTACCGGCCGGCCTTGATCATCACCACCATGTGGCGGAAGAAAGGCTGCAGCGGGTCGTCGAACGACAGAAAGTTGAACATGACGTTATCGGACTGCTTGGCCTTGATCAGGATCTCCATCTGCGGGCCCTGGCGCGCCACGAAATGGGCCGTCCTCTCGATGATGTCGGCGTGTCGGCGAGACCCGGGCTGCCAACAGCACGCACGACACTCTCATCCACCGCAGCCGCTCGGCTCACCAGGGCAGGGGGCGTCGCCAGCAGCACACGGCCGCCCCGCAGACAGCGCGACTGACAGCACATGGCCTACAGACAGTGATGTTACAGACAGCACACAGCCCACACAGACAGTCGTGTGATGAACAAATAAAGCTAACCCAGTGGTGTCGCAAGCAGCACACGCTCCACACAATGGTGTCAAAAACAGCACGCAGACTGTACAGACAATGGTCCACACACGCCACACAGACAGTGTTGTCACAAACAGCACACATGCCACACAGACAGTGGTGTCACAAACAGCACACATGCCACACGGACGGTGGTGTCACAGACAGCACACGGCCCACACAGGCAGTGGTGTAGTACAACACAGCGAAATAGTGGAGCCATAGAAGCACAAGAATGACAGAGGCATAAGCGGCACACGGCGATGCCACAGCTCAAAATGGCAGTGGCGTTACAAACAAAACACGGAAAGTGGGGTAAAAACAAGGCACCGACTGCATCAGAACCGGCACGTGACCGGCAGGATCACACACACTAGAAGGCTGGCAGCGCCTGGCAACACAGAGCAAAGGAAACCTGAAGGATTGAATCACTGGTGCTACGTGACACGCGCGGGTTTCGGTTGTCCGCACGTCAACGGACAAGAGCCGGCCGACCGCGGACGACGAGGCGCGCCAGTCGCCCACCGGTGCGGCTCATCACGTCCACCCGTCCTTCGGGACAGGCGCCGGCGCAGGAGGCCAGCTCGGGCGTCCGTTCCCACCTGCGCCATGCCGTCGGGCAGGCCGAGCGCGGCCGGCGGCTGGTACGGCTCGTCCTCGGGCTCGGCCGCCGCCGGCTCCCGGGCGGCCGGCGGCGCCGCGCCGGTGGCGGCGCCGCCACTCCCGCCGCCGGCCGCGTCGTACGTGTAGCCCATCTGGCTGTAGCGGGCGCCGTCTCCGGCCAGCGACTGGAGCCGCTTCCACTCCTCCTCTGCGGGCCGGGGACGCGTCAGTCCGTCGTCACACACAACACCTACGCACAAAGGGCAGCGAACTCAGCTGACCGCTAGCGGTGTCACTGCTTTTCACAAGTACAGCCGACATGGTGGTGAAAGATGACCACCTAATGGCCTATGCTGTGACTGCCACTGAGCGCGCGCGGCTAAACTCTGTAACCGTGCCTGCAGTGCATCCAGCGAACGAATTTCATGCTTTCCGCGTGTGTTACCAGGAAGTATTACAATCAGGAAAACGTTAATGTCTCCAGCCGCACCACCAACACTGCTGCAAAACAGCAGAAATGAGGACACTGCGAGTTTCTCGCAGCTGTGTGTCAAACACCATGCAACGGTTGGATTTCGCACAACGCCTCAAATGTCAATTCAAAGCAAACAAATACAGCGCAGGGCGGTCCCGAGTTACATCCAAGACTGCACCACTGTCCTACGGTGTCTGGTGTCGGCCGGCGCCGGCCGGGGCAAGCGGCCGTGCTGGCCGGAGCCGGAGCCGGAGCCGGGCGGCGGCGGCTGCTTACCCTCCAGCATGCGCTGTTCGTCCTCGTCCTGGTAGAGCGCCAGGTAGCGTTCGCGGTCCACCAGCTCCTCGAGTCGCCGCTCGCGCTCGGTGAGCCCGTGCCAGCGGTCATGGCCGCCGGGCGGCGGCTCGTGCGGACGCAGGTCAGAGAGTGCGCCACGACCGTCGTACCTGCGGCAGACGGGCCGGCCGACGTCAGGGGCGCCCGGCGCACACGGCCGCGCGCGCCGCCCACCCCGCAGGCCGGCCGGCACCCACGGACACTACAGGAACACACGCTGAGGGCGGCGGCTGTGGCGGCGGCGGCACACAGTGTCCACCCCAGCCGACGGAGCGCGGCTGAAAACACGCAGAATGTGCGTCAGAATGGGCAGCGAGACGGTCTGGATTAGCCGAGGGCACACAGCGGCAGCACGCAGTCGACATCTTGTCAATATTTCGGCATATCTGTCAAGTTTCCAATCACCTGTAAGTCAGTTTGGAAGGCTTGGCAGTGTCCTGAACAGCAGACATGCTCCCCTACACCATGGATAATGTACAAGGGTAAGTGACACAATACTTGACCAGGCACTCTTAACTTCCAACAATCAGTCATCATAAACAGCAATGAACAAGTTTGAACACTTTGGTAACCAAACATCTGTCACAGTCACATAATGAGCCAGGTCAAATACTCCCAATATGGTAAATACTTACCTTACTTACCAGATACTTACCAAATTTATTCCACTATCAAACACTTGCGAGTTCCACAAACTGCAAGCATCTTCATCCTGCCGTCATTGTCCTAATTTGGGCTGTAAACTGCATGGTGACTGTGAAAAATGCAAGTTTCTGCCAGGTTAGAACACCAAAACATCAAAAGTGTACGAACCTAAGCCAATAGAGCCCGCCACGGGTGACATCAGATGCCACCGAGACCAGTGGCGCCCGAGTACGGCTCGAGCAGGCGGGCGTGCATGGCGTGTGCCCGAGACAAGACGTCACAGTCATCTTCCGTCACTGCACTTCCAGCGAGCCAACGGACGGTGGCCAACGAAGCCAACGGACCTGTCAATCTTCAATGTTTCGTCCGCCATCCACGGGATCAGGTGTTTGCCACTGTCGATATACAGGGCCTTCTCATTGTCGCGGAACAGCTTGCAGGCGTAGCCGAACACCAGCAGCTCGTCCTCCTTGCTCTTGTCAGCCGCGGACGCGTCCATGACGCCGCTGGTCCTGGCCTCCCAGTCTGCGGCCCGCGGCGCCCTCACGCTTCGAATGTGATCCCTGAGGGGCAGAGGATCCGTCAAATCCACCCATGTGTAGCTCCACTCACAACTGCCATCATTAGCTGCTGTCATTGTTAAAAGACTGCTTCAGGAAAACGACATTTCACCATTTGGTAAATATGTTCACCATTATGTCATCCTTTGATTATGTAATGGAGGATTTGTGTGTTGTCAGAGGGGCTGACACACTGGGCATGTGAGATTGCCATCATGGTGATGGCTGACTTACTTGTAGTGCTTCAACTTCTCAAGAGGTATCCTGCCAACCTGTGTGTTGTGGTGTTTTCAGAACCCAAATATCAGTAGCTGTGCATGTTTTGGCCCTTCCTTGTGGTGTTCTTACATATTCACCTCTTATCTTATCCTGATGACTTGCATTCCTAGGCTTGGTTGCGAAACTTATATCAAAGGGAGTATTCCACATTTGTATGGGGGTTTGAAATGAAACAGCCATCTTGATAATCATTCAGTGCAGTTCACAGCCCTCTTCTTCTTTACACCTAAACCTCTCTAGTTTCTGATGATGATGATTGTTTGGGCTTTATGGTGCACTGACTAGGGTGGTCATATGGTGCCCACCCCTCTAGTTTCTGAGCTATGTGCTTGCAAGGACAAGCAGACTTTTTGGGGAGAATATTTCAAGGTCACCCAGGCATCCATAACACCATGATGCCATTTCAATCCTGTCATTCCATTAGCCATACAGCAATCAAGACAAATAAAGAATATCACTATCACATCACTGTGGTGCTTTGAAGTGAGCTTTTTCATCATACCTGATGCTTGGTTCAATGCCTTTAAATCAGGCACATTTCCTACAAGTAAATGCATTACATTCCCAGTCTCATTTTTATCAAAACCTTTACCACTGTCCAGCATCCTGTACACAGCACAAAACATTATTTGTATTCTTAACTTGCACAAAAACATCTGCTATTGATGCCAGGAGGAGGTCTGAAAGAACATTTTTGTACCTTAAGTTGGCCAAATAAGTGGTAGGACTTATATGACACCTCTATGACACCTTTATAAAATGGTATGCATGAAAAAGTTTGCATATTTTGCAGACATCAAGCTCAGGAACCATCATAAAAATGTGTAATGCTTCCTCTATCCACTGCACTATCAATATCTTAGAACTGCCTATTCTGTACTGGCAGACCAAAACTATTACATAACCCTATGTTCAAAACACAATCATCTGACATTTTAAGATACTAATGCAATCCCAAAACAGGTAAGGGTTCTGGATGAGTACAAATAAGTCCTTCTTCATAATCGTGATGCCCATCTCTACACAGGTTCCCTCCAAATGTTTACAAATCTGCTCAGGGCATGAGCGTGAGCAGAATATTTATGCTTTTGACAAATCAGTCACAATGAGGCAAATCATTGGAACCAACTGGAGAATTTTGCTATGTTCAACCTCCAGCCTGAACTGAGAGGCAGGTGCAAGTCGCTGAATAGTTGAGATGTTTCTGACGCTGAATAGTGAGTGATTCTTATTTGCATTGCCATGACACGGTGGTGGCATGTGGGTAGGTGGTCATCTGTGGTAGGTGATTGGGGGAGTGGTTTTCTATGAATGTTTGTTGCATCCTTGGCAATTAATGCTCTTCATCGTAAATGGTAGGTTAAGTCATGTTCAAGTCTAAGCTGGTCTGTGTAGGGCATAGGAAGTGAGAGCTTTGCTGATCTACAGACTGGTGTGATTCTGGTATTTATTTCTCATTTCCCAGCATTATTCAAAAGCCAATTCCATAAAACCTTTACATGCTTTATTTTTCACATTTCCATACATGGTTTATCATATACCTAGATGGCAAAACAGGCAGCTTGCTATTGGACAGCTTAGTCTGGTGGGTGCAAGACTTGTACTCTTGCAGATATCAATATGTAGATCCTGATGGATGCACCAAGTCTCAGGCTGTTGCACCTTCTGGTTTGGTTTTGTCCTGACACAAGGAAGTAAAATGAGTTTTTCCAAAAGCTATTCTTATTGCATCATGATGGAGTACAAAATGTTTTATTTGACCTAGTCACAATCCTGGAGTACAAAATCTCTTGGTGCACATTACACCAGGGAACATAAAGTTTTCCAGCACTGCAATATTTTCATGTAAAATGTGGCACAATTCCTAATCTTGAACAACACTTTTTTCTCACTTTGAAGAGCCAAAACCAAGTTTCAGACACTTGCCACCAGCATCACAGTTCCTTGAAAAATTGGTTCTCACATGGTGGTACCAAAACATGTTGAAACTGTGTGCCAAACAGCATACTCAGATTTACAGCATCCTGAAATGCACATGCTGAACTCACTGCTGACATGTTGCTGCTATGTGGATCATGTTCCACATTATGTGTTGATCATAGTGCAGCCAAGCAGCAGATATTTACAATGTACATGCATTTTCTAAACATAAGGCCATGGTACAAATTCCTATATAGTGCAGGAAAACTTCAGCCCCATTCCTGGCCTCAGGCCTAGTGGCCCCCCTCCCTAATACCACCACCTGTGAGAAGAACGTGGGCCACAGCTGGGGATAAACCAGTTTTTCAGTGCAATTTGAGGCAGGCTGCCCTTTTAACGCTGTTCAGCCGTCCCAATTCACTTTGCTAACTACGCCCCCGACGAGGCCATACACTATACAGGTACAAATACCACATTAATGTGTGATCAGGACCCATCGAGGCGGTCTGTCGAAATGCCTACGACGGACAATTCACCAAAATTAAACGCTCACCTTGTGCTATCGACCCTAATAACAAATCCGGCTGTATGCAATTTAGTTTCAAGCAAGTCACAGGACTGCATGCAACAACTTGCGTCATTTCCTGAATGGTGCTGTTTCCGGCGCAAGACGAAACGTACGCACATATGGCGCTATTAAGAGGCTGCATCAACAGTACTTTGCTGCCATCCATGCAACCAACCCCAAACTTCACAATGCCTGCACTGATCATCTTTAAATTTACTCCATTCCAAATAAATATATGTTTTTAACCCAGCCATTATAGAACTGGTGATATCAAACTCCTATACTAATCATCAAATCTGCATAAGCCATTTTGTGGTATTGCAGCCAAAACAAAACTCGGACACTGCTCATTCAATATCCTTGAAACCTTCACCCACGGGTGTAGGAACAGGGGGTGGGGGGCAAGGGATCAATTGCAAGGCTGGAGATCGCCCTGTCTGTCTGTTTGTCTGTTTGCCCAGTCGTCGAAACTGTCACCGGGGATCGTGGCAAAATTTTAATCGCCGTGCGCGCATTTTAACTGCCGGTATTTTCTATCCATGTTGGTTATTCCGTGCAGTCCCATTCAAATATCAACTTATCCCAAAGGGTTACATATTTGCTCTTTCGGGGCATCAAAATGCCACCGTCCGACCGCTTCGTTGCTACCACCGAACGCCAGCCGTTCGGAAATCATTTCTGAAAAGCTTCGGGGGAGGGGAGGGGGGATCAAATTGACTCTCCCTCACCTGACCGCGTATTAATATACTTTTCAAGCAGCCAGCAGATGGTGAAGTGAACTCGGACGCACCCACAGTAAATTAAATTCACACCTTTTGCACATACTTAGGTTTGTGTCATGTGCCATGATATCCTTCCGAGTGCCCATGTTGTTATCCCCATCGTGTTTCTGATGCCGTTTCAATTGTGTGCACTTATCCAAGCGCTGATTTCAAAGACTAACAAGCTTTATTTATTCCAAAGAGCCGCCACAGTCGGCCCAATACCCTCTGGGATTTTAAGGAGCTTTATCACATTTCCACCGCATGAAATTCAATCGGAATTCGTCGTGTCGAAACATGAATAAACGCTTCACAAGTTCCACATTGGACTATGAATACATAAGGTAGAAGCTGTCTCATCAGCCCATGTCCCAAATGCGTGAATTGTGGGCTGAGTAGGCTTCAGTCATTCTTTTCCAACTCAGTTGAGCCAGTGGCGTAAACGGTCGGAAAACGGGCGTGGGAGCTTCCCCATTAACCAATATCCCAGTGGCGCGGGAGTGTGAAAATGGATAGCGTTTTCCGGGGTGCAAAGATGTGCGCTGTGAGTGATGACGAGTCGGGTAATATAGTTCCAAACACTTATTCCTAGTGAACGAGTTCAGTCATGTTATGACGGTAGCATCACTGTGAATTGAGAATCTCCCGTGCAGGAGAATGCATGAATCTCTCGTGATTGAGAATCTCCCGTTTCTTTGCCTCAGAAAGCTCTGCGATGACTAACAATGACTGGGCAACGGCCGTTGTATATGTTTGACTCGACGTGTTTGCACGGCATGTCATAGAACATCGGACTGTTTTGCTAACTATACGTTTAAACGACACAAGCCTACGCAGCAATGACGATAACCACGACATCGACAACAACGACGTTGCAAATGGTTAGCAAACGTGTTCGTTTTTGTCGCGGTAGACTCGCTCGGGCGTGGGGGTTGGCGACTAATTTGAGCCGCCCATCAGTTGGCCAGAGGTCGGCTTAAGTTCTCGGCAGGTGGCTGCCGTACTGTGTCGGCTTACCTCTGAAATAGCACTGCATCACCTCGGACGTCGATCACGCCGGTCTGGCAACTGGACACAGCGGACTTTGTCAGGCTGTCATTGTGCGACCGTGCCATGACGTCACGTAGTACGTAAATGGCATTAGCACCGCTGCAATTTTATCGGCCCAAATTTTCCGCTGAACTGCAGTTAGTTTTTTGAAATCGTGGGATTATGGTCATTGCACTGATGCTCGACCTGATCGCGGATTCCCTAATCGCAAAAGTATCACTGGGAAACGCTCGATTATATCTCCTGCAATATTGGCAAACATAGAAATGTTTAGCCGATTCGATGCTAATGAATCACTTTGCTCTCTCCATTCGCCGTGCTGAATGTCGGTAACGACCGCAAAGTACACATGACAGCTCATTTGGACCGTACTACATTTCGAGACCATGAACCCTGCAGAATGGCTGCATTGCTAGACCACTCGACCGCCAAGGCGAAACCAACGCCTTATCATCAAAAGAAAGCTGCACGCACCAACGCCAAACAGAAGGCAGTACTCATGAAAAGGCGTATGAAAAAGCTGAAAGAGCTGGAAGAGCTCGAGAACTAATAGCTAACACCATCATCAAAGCCGTGCGGGCGACGATGACGCGCAACGTGACGTTGACATATGTCAACGTGCTATGTCAAGCGTGTGCCGCTTAACATGGCACCGTCCTTTCAGCTTCACCGAACGTTAGCAGCTTGTCGACACCAGCGGCATTGTTTGTGTGCGCCGGTCGATACCCCCGTGGACGTCTGTTGACGCCGGAGGGGCGCCCGGCACTCCTGGGCGCTCGCGAGACGGGAGCGGCTGCACCTCTGCGCACTCGTGACCCGACTGCCGGAGGTCGCGCTTGGTTGTGAGTCGCCCGAGCTTCGTCCCGCCACTCCGACTGCTGTCGGCGTTCCAGGCGAAGGCGGGGCGACGTAAGAGAGCAGGCGAGAAAGCAACGCCCGTTGTGCTCTGAAGTCAACTTCCCGGGGCGTAAATTTAACCGGAGGCTGCCCGCCTCTGCGAGCACGAGAATCAAGCCGGCTCCCTGCAAGTCACCCGCGGGCCACCATGAGGCTGGTCGTCCGGAAGTCAGTGGGCGCCGCCGCGATCCAGCCGGGGGGCCAGGACGGCACCGCTGGAGGGCTCCGGCGACCCAGCCCGATCACCGGGGCGGATCAGGTATTCATTCGTATGCTCCAGGCCACTGGCATGTCTGGCCGACGAGGCTGGCCGTCGCTGCTCTATGCCACCATCGTCTACGGCTTCGTGACCTATACATTGCTCACTTTTGCCACACATTCTCTGTCAACCGGCCTGAAGCAAACAAGCACAAGCAAATCGGTTGTGAAGGCAGCGACCTTCTCGAGTCTGTTCGGCGCTGTACATGTCGCGAGCTGGCTGGCGCTCACCGCCACCTGGATGGGAGGCCGACTGCGCTACGCTGCGCTCCTGGCCGAAATCCTCGCGCTGCTCAGGGACGTGGCCGAGGTAAGGCGTTTGAATGAACGGGGTAGAAGTTCAGGTCGATGTGTCAAGTGGCTGCTCGTTGTGTTCGTGGCTAGCGCATTCTTAACGTTGACTTATGGGCTCTTGTATACTTTATCTTATTGTGAGACGTTGTCCACCAAGTGCTTGCCGGGTCTGTTTTCCCTCGTTTCCGGACTTCTCTCCAGCTGCTGTTTCCAGCTGATTCCCATCAAGTTCGTGTTCGCAGCGAACTTGTTGGCTGCTGGGTTGGCGGATGTCAACGCAGAGCTCAAAGCGGTTGCCACTGGTGCGCGCCAGATGGATGGCGTCCAGTTTCTGCGCCTTGGGCGCTTGCAGATACGAATCTGCCACAGTCTGTCACGACTGGCCGCCGCCATGACCCCCGAGCTCGTCTTTGTAACACTTTTTGGAGTTCTCACCTCGGTAACCACTCTGTTGTTTGTTGTGTTCCTCATGACGTCCGTCTTTGACGCTGTTCTGATGTTCGCCTGCGCCATTAACCTGGCTAACACCGCCGTCGCACTGGCCGCGCCCTGTGAGGCGAGCCATCGCGGCCTGAACTTGGTCCGAGAGAGCCTGAACCTGTTGTTGGAGGTCGAGTGGCGGCGACCTGAGCTCGGCGCGCCGGCGACGCTGGTGCGGAAGACGATGCGGTGCCATCTGGACGCCTTGGGCGACTTGGGACTATTCCGTCTGCAGCGCTCCACCCTGCTCAGCATCACGTCTACCATCATGACCTACATGATTGTGATGGTACAGTTCCGTGTGTCCGAGGACACTTCTGGAACTCGATGTAACGGCGTTAGTAATACGTCTATTGAAAGCACCAGCTAAAACTGCCATAGCATGCAAGCTGCATCCATGCAATAGAAGAAGGAGGTACGAAGGCCTCATTCTGTCACTGGCTTTTGAAAACCGTTTGGGCGCGGCCAGCAATATACAATAGATCACGTAGGATTCCATCTTAAATCGTTGGGATTGATGGTGCCGAGGAAAAACATGTGGCGATGAACGCCTATTACCAGAATGTCTGAACAAGAGACCACACGGTCATTAGAAGGCTATCTTTCCAGCCATTGGAAAGGCTTGAGCACAGGTTCCAGTCAACTTGTAACTTGGTGCACCGTACGACGGCAAGGGAAGCGGGAACAGAGGCGAGATGCGATCCTGCTGCAAGACACCGCGAGCGCGCCGTGGAGATAGTCTCGGACCGTGGGTTAGAGGCTGCGGCATGAACAGGGTTGGAATCGGTGAGCCTACCACAGAGAGCGTGGCAGTTCTATTGGCGGACGCCGGTCAGCAGCCACCGTTCCGTCAGCTAATAAGATTTTGATGCAAACAAATGACATGCACTACGACAATTGGTCTATCGTTTCCTTTGGTGACCACGGACAAGTAACCAGTGATAACACGCGACGCTGGTGCGGAAGACGATACGGTACCATCTGGACACCTTGGGCAACTTGGGACTATTCCGCCTGCAGCGCTCCACCCTGCTCAGCATCACGTCTACCATCATGACCTACATGATTGTGATGGCACAGTTCCGTGTGTCCGAGGACTCTCCTGGAACTTGACGTTACGGTGTTAATAACACGCCTATTGAAATCACCAGATAAAACTGCCATAGCATGCAAGCTGCATCTACGCAATAGAAGAGGGAGGGGGCTTTATCTGTGACTAATACGCGTCTGGGGGCTGCATTGGTCACAGTTAAAGGTTGGCGTATGTATACATAGTGGTGCACAATGTCCCCGATCTGCACAGCACACACACGTGGAGGCAATCAATTGTGGTGACCATTCGATGCAATATCTTTAAGGGTGTTCAGCGCAGGGTTAATGTGAGGCATATTGTTCAGTTAGTCATAAAACAGGTGCTGTTGACCATTGGCCATTTTGTTAGGCTACAACGCTTGCTTCATGGCAAACAACAACTAAATCTAGTTATTTCTAGGATTTAAGGTGCTGAAGTTCATGTCAATGTGCTGTTTCTGCCGGAACCAACCCAATGAATTCACTCTCGTCTTTGTCCTGTCACATGTGTCATGTCAAGCCGAACGTCACGACCGTGCGACTTCGATCAACTTGTAGATGCGATGGTAGGAAACTGGATATATATATATATATATATATATATATATATATATATATATATATATATATAGCGGCCCTTGGTGCCGCGGAAGCCTGTAGTTTTGCCAAGGTTTGTGGTCGTCTATGTTGTGGTAATTTGTGTCACCTGCTCACGTGCAAATACATGGTTGGCATCCATACGAGTGACCTTGTGATACCACAACCTATCCTCGTCACCGTTTATCATATAAACATGTTTGGTAGAGACCTGTAGGCCCTTGTTATAATGCCCATAAACAGGCAGAGACAAACCGGTAACCGCGGCACATCGGGGTGAACCCTGGGATAGACGAACTGACCTGCAGTACGACAGGGCTTACCCATTAGCCGCGTGACCATGGACCATCCGACCCGAAAACAGATAACCCCAAATCACGCGATCTTCAATCGGCCAAACCTGGATCACGCCTAACGTCACACAATGGTAACTTTACGGGAATGGAATAGTCTGGACGTGAAGACTGTGCACCCGATTCAGGCATGCAGACACACAGTCGTTCTCCGGAAAGGGGGTCAAATGTCACATTTTATCCGAACTCCTGCAAATCCGCTCAAAATCTAGCGTAAACATCTTGGCTCAGGGAAGGTGGGGGGGGGGGGGGGGGGGCGGAATGCCCCTCTCTTCGCTACATGCTCGCGTCCGAATCATCTGGACCTGGCCGCCTCAACATGAGTCACTGAGCCCGGACAGAGCACGAGGAAGTGGTTGCGTGACAGCAGCAGAAAACACGGCGCTCGACTCGGCTCCGTTCTGTCCGGGCCGCCCCGCCCACACTTCCGCGGGGCGATCGGCGCGTCCCAGGTCGGGCAGCCCCAGGCGGGGAAATTCCCTCTAACATTGCCTGATGGTGAGACGGCAGCTGTGGTGATGACATTGCCTGATAACATTGCCTGATGGTGAGACGGCAGCTGTGGGAGGCAGGCGCCAATTGGTACGTGGGGACTCTCCACTGCTCGTCGCCACGTTCGGCGGTCGGCGGAGGCAGGGCCGGCTTTGGGATCAAAGGAGGAAAATGTGAAACCATGGGCAAACGCACGCCGACATCAGCTCATTTCGTGCTTGTACCGAAATTACAGTGCCGCCTTTTACATCGATTCACGCACCGCATAAAACCGCCTTCACAAACTGCGCTGTCCAGTTGGGTGCCGATCTCTGCTCAGAGAGAGTGAGAAAGAGAGAGAGGGGGGGGGGAAGATAGGAAGTGGGAATATATATATATATATATATATATATATATATATATATATATATGAATGTATATTCTCTTTTTAGCAATATATATATATATATATATATACATAAACGTATACATATGTGTATATATGACTGCAAACAAAAGTGCAAACTATACTACACATATAGGCGGCTTATATCTCACCGCTGTTTGTTTTTTTGCTGACCGCATTGCTGTGTTTTGGCGTCGGCGGGCGTGGGTGGCGTTTTCGTGGTGCGTCCACCCGCCGACAGGTCAGCCATCCATGTATCGGGAACATTAGTGACCTGCTTCAGTGAGAAGTGCGCTGCGACAGGTGTGCCATGATTGCAGAATATTACACCTTATCCTTTGGGCTCGGAACCGGCGAACGCGTAAGTAGTTATGCGACGCAAGTTAGGTGTGCTCAATTAAAGCGCTGTTTTCGTTCACCTTTCAACGTAGGGTGTGCGTGGAGAACGTCCAGACGTCTTCTGTGGCATCAAAGTGCCGCACTAGTCCCAGCGAGAACTCTCGCCAATATCAGCTATCAAACGTGGCGAAGAGAACACCAAGTGAGAACAACATTGTTGCCCCTTCTGTTTGGCGAAACGTGAATACATCTTTCCCGTAAGCATCGGAAAAATGCCTCTGTAGTTAGTAGGCAAAGCACTGCGCACACGATCTGATCGGGCAGATCAGGCAGCCTTGTACGTAATGATAAGATAGCGATTAGGGTTGGAGGCTTGAGTATTTTGAATGCCGAGTTTTAGGCTGGATGGATTCCGATGAGGATTCGGGTTCAAACTGAACACAATTCGAGTGCATTTTCATCGTTGTGTTGGAAGTTGAAGCTGACGGAATGCAATCAAAGGAGGACGGTGACGAAGTCCGGTGCAGAAACGATAGATAAGTGGTAAATTTAGTTTATTTTTTAAAAATGTGGACACAGATGGGATTCCAAGTACTCGATTGCATGCTTAACAAGTGACTATCAGGATTCGATGTGCTTTTTGAGATTCGAATAATCAATTTCGGGGTTTGATTAAGTTCCCGTTTCCAGCATTCGAGAATTTACAAGCCCCTGTTTCTAGCATTCAAAGATTCACGAGATATGAAATGATTAGAATTTACTCGTGCCCTGCCAATCATATCCTCACCTCTAATAGGTACAGGCGAATAAATGTGAATACTCATGATATAGCGACATGATGAGGCTTTCGCGCGATGCATATTCAAGGGCGGGGACCAGCAACGCAGAAAACTTTGAATTTCGAAAAATAAAGGCACTTGCCTCTCCAATTCGGGGTTATAAATGAGTCAAGTGCACGAGCTACAGGCAAATATTCTACGTCCTGTGCCCACCCCTGCATTGTGATGTCGATGCCGTTCAGGTTAAAAGCACCACCCCTCTGCCAATTCCTGTTAAACGTTCTCGAACGTTTTCAATGAAAACTTCCAAGTTTTTGACAAGCGTGCACGGCTGCCTGTGGTTTAGGGACCTATATTCAAAGTTTGTTTCTCGTCTGAATTATTTTCATGAATATGTGCATCATTTGGATTATGCTGCGCTTTGGATTTTCTCTTGATGGATTTCTTTATCAATTGCGCATCGCCCGCCTGCTGCAGGCGAAACATAATTCAGGGTTAATAACGCGATACCTGGCTGTATCACACCACCAGTACATGCCATGACAGGTCAACTTCACGGATCCAAATGCATCGTGCTGCCCATTTGGGAGAATTTGGTCCACAGCTTAACGTCTGATACAAACGACTTATCAGCTCGTCACCGGTCAACGTAAGTGGCATGACTCGAAGAAGTAGAAATCGGCATGGCAACGTCTGAAGTTACCGTGCCACGCCGTGACTTTGACCTGAAGTGTTCGCATGCTCTGCTTCAGACGCAAAAAGGTCACCCTTTGGTGCCGCTTTCAAGGTTATGCGAAAAATTATCCTGGCTGCTACAGGGTTACGAAGTCGTCCAACAATTTGGGATTCACGAGGCGCCTCACGCGAAACTTCATCGATTCCGTGAAGAGCTGCGCATCGTGTCAAGTCTGTCGGCTGATATGCCGGTCCAATCCATGCAAACCTTTCCAAAAGTGTTCGCTTCTATGCGGACGCTTCCAGGGGCATGTGATCAGCCGGGCCCCGCCCGCCGCCCCGCCGGAGGGCGGCCCGCGCGCCGCTCTGTCTGCCCCGCGGGCTTCCCCGGCGCTGCCGCGGCGCCGGGCCGGCCGGCAGCAGCGGCGGTGCCGGCGGCGGCGGCGCGCTGCAGGGCTGCGCACGGTGAGGCGGCGCGCACCACACCGGCAGTTGGCGCTCGGTCGGTGGCGAGGACGCGGTCGCGCGCGGTGCGTCGACGCGGCACGGCGGCGAGGCATCGGCGCCGTCCCGGACGCTGTAGTGGAGGCGCGGCGGC